CGTAGTCGATCCCTTTGCGGTTGGCTTCGGTCGCTTTTATAGGATTGATGAATATCTGCAGAAGTTAGCATGTGAAGTACCACGCTCCAAGTAGACATACCTCTAAAGCGATACAAATGCCGGTCCAAGCGAGCGCAGCTTGGGGCACGGCCTGGATTGCCGCACTTATAGTGTTCTTTGCAGATAGAACGACATCTACAGCCACGCCAAGGCTCTCTTTCACCTTGACCTCCCTCTCAGTCTTGGCTAGGCCAGCATTGATAAGCTGGGTCATTTGGCGGCGCCTGTCCAAGGTGTTTTGGGCGATGGTGTTCGGCTGGGACTCGGGCACCGTTGAGCCGGGGCCATCCTGTAGCTGTCGGGACAGTATCTTCTCATATGCGTCCACCAATTTGACCTCTTCTTGTTTAAGCTCATTATAGGCACGGTCCCAGAGCTGTATGGGTAAGCTGGTAGTAGTGTCATCTGCGCTAGCGGACGTCTCTGTGTTGGTAGGATTGGTAGCCGGAGCGGCTGGGGGTCGTGGAGTGGACGTCTCTATGTCGACGGAACCAGTAGCTGGAGCGGCTGAGAACCGTGAGGCGGACGTCTCTACGTCGGTGGAACTGGTAGCTGGAGCAGCTGGGGGTCGTGGGGTGGACGTAGAGGGAGTAACGGGGATGTGCTGTGTAGACGTCGGCAACTCGAGCAGAGGTTCAGGGCGAGACTGCTCTTGGTCCTTAGAACCTTCTCTACTCTCCGTATTTCTGTCTCGCTTGAAATGCGTCGGGATCCACGAGCGGAATCGTCGACGCATCGTAGCTTTGAGGAAGGAATGTCTTGACTGCGGTGAGGATGCTATGGTTGATGATTAATGAATCGAGTTTATGAAAGTGCCGGGAATTCCTCTCTCCTGCCATCTAGGACAAAATAAGGAAAAGAAACTAGAACACTGTGTTTTCTCGAAGCCATGATGGAGCATGGGGCTTTCTGTGTTGTTACTTTGTCAGGCGCAGGATGGCTGGCGGCTCCCTCCCAACTACACGCCAATCACCCAAAGGACATTGCTTTTTTGAGGCTGAGCATTCATGGACCCGGAAGGTTCAGGGCGCCAAATTAATTGCCTGGGTTGGGCTAGGGTCGTGGCTTTCCCTCACGGTTTACAGGATTGGCAATAGTGTACCAAGCAGCGGGCGTGGCGCAGGTAGGGCTGTAAATCCGAGTGGAACCTGCAAATTGCAGTAGAGCTTAGGCTGCCAGTGCTGTCAACAACCAAGCCGTTGCGATAACCAGTGTCCTTAAGCGGACAATGCGTTGATGCCTTACTTTTCATTTCCTTTGGGACCTGTGGGCGCATGGAACCGACGCCAAGCGGCGATCGCATCAACAGTAAGACATAAAGCAGCGGTTCATACTACCAAAGAAATGCTTTCGTTGAAGTCCAAGGTTCAGCTACCGGAAGAGGAGCTGATATTGTATCACGGGCAAAGGGTATATGGTAGATGTAAATATGTGTAATTGCACGAAGGAGAAAGGAGGAGAGTGTCGACGAGTGCCCAGAAGACTAGCCTTATGAAGGCAGTCCAGCTGTGGACCCTAGTAGGTCCACGGCAGGAGGCCGCCATTGGCCAGTCACATGCAACACATGCGACACAGGCTAACCCTGTGACATATTGTGCTTTGACAAACGTTAATGTGGCTAGCCGCAGTGTCAGGACGGTCAACTTTTCTCGTAATCCGCCCAATTATATTCATCCTTTTACCATCTTGCCTCCGTCCGAACGATATGGATATGGGAGCTGGTGGTTCAGTTTTTTGACCCTACCACGTGATTAAAAGACCCGTTTCATATCCTTCCCACTCCCATACACAAGCAGCCATATGGAGGACTATCTATGGGAGCCGTTTTTTGGATGACTCAGCCAAAAACGCCGCCCCCGTTTCTAGAACCGTTTTCCCATTGCCTTCGCCGTCGAGTGCACCGTTCCACTTACGCCAAGCCCAGCTGAGTAGGCTAGGCATACTGTTGGTGGGTCCGTGCCCTGCCCAGACCACCACTGTCTAGCCTTCCAGACCCGCCAGTCTCTCATCCTCTCCATAGAACACACACATCAATCAACCGTATACACGCTTGCTCTTGTTGGTTCGTGATCTCACACATACACTACACAAGGTACTTACCCCTGCCATTTACCCCTGACTCCTACTCCATATACTTAGTACTTCTAACTGGGAGGTGTGGTTGGCTTTTGGGAGGTGTGGTTGGCTTTGGTGAACACTTTTCTCCGTACGTATATCCCTTCAGGCGAGTCAGAAGGGCCTCAAGATATAAATTGCGTCTTTACCCTCAGGTTCCCGACCGAACCAAACAAGCACACTTTTGTCCCATTCTCATTGCATTCACTGTATATCCATTCTTCCCAGTTGATTCTACCGCATGAATTACGGCCCCTACGTTGCGAGGGTTGCGTTGGTTTTTCATATGAAACCCTCCTTCCGAGTTTTCTAATGAATTTCTCCTCCCAAACATACTGAGCTCGTTAGCTATTGCAGCTTGAGAGGGTATTGTTTGAGTCTCACGGTGCCGATCACACTCCATCCATATGCAATACGGAAGGGATGGAGCTACAAAAACCGCCGATACCGCCGACTGTATCCGACGACGAAGAACGGAAAAGAAGAGCATTTGCCGACGTCGACGAATTTACGGTAACAACACATGAGCGTTCGCTTTGTAAGAAGACCAAAGCCGAGCGAGAACGCGCGTGGCGTCTATGGAATAGGTATGTACCTTATCATTTTGCTGTTTTCTTTGATATTGCGTACTAATGCTTTTTAGATTTGTCATAGAAGTGTTACAATTAACACAAAAAGAGGCTGATAAGGTTTGGTTTGGTGTGTGCCAAAATAAGAAAAAGTCCATTGCTATTTGCAAGAGCTTTCTGGCTGACTATACACGCTATGCAAGATGTAGGCGTCTGTATATAGACGGTACCGAGGAATAGAAGGAGGTAGTAATAGTTCAATTAGTAGTGACTATTATTACTTTGTGGAAGCATATAGTAGCTCAAGCCGATGCTATAGTGCTCGCGAAAAGAAGGGATCAAGATTCAAATGAAGATTCAGACGAAGATTCTGAATAATGGATATTGCTTGGCAACCGTGGGAAGGCCCGTGGAGAGGTTATCTAGGTAGATTTCCTCTTTACCTATACCGATATTGTATACTAATATTTCTTCTTACAATAGATCTAATCAATTCTTGTACAAAAGTTTAACCTATTATGCAAATAAATATTTGAGAAAACCGAAGCTACAACAGACGATATTCTGCTTATTCTTAGTACTTTGTGGGAACGCGCAGTCGATATACCTTGTGATCCTAGACATCGGCTTGCCTTTCATACATTGGTGCTTATAGGAAGCATTGGCTTTCGGCCTGGCACTTATGAGAACATGCTTTATCGACAAGTCAAGCTACTTGTCGTTCGCGATCCGGATACAAAACAGCCAAGGCTTGTTGCTGAGATCACGATCAATCAAAATAAGCTATCGGCTAACAAAATTGATAAGGGGGCAGATGTGTATGTATTCTTGCCTTTAACCGTTGATCCAAACTAACACTTTTCTAGGGTGACCTTTTCTGCTACTATGGTACCATGCTAGATCGTTTGTTTAGTTACGTTTGTAGCTATTCAAGCTCTACATGATGATGCCTTCGAAACAGAGTTTTCGTCCTTCGACGAATTACTTCAGCGTCCAAACTTGGAAGATGTTGATTGCATTGAACTTAGGTGGAAGGATGGGATGCAGGAAAAGCCTATCTTTCCCTTAAAGTACTACAAATATCTGGAACTTTGGAACCGGACATGGTTGGTAGCGGGCAACAGAAACACTCTCCGGCCCTATGCGCTGCGAATCGGCGGTGGAAATAAAATTGATGGTAAGAACCCTTTACCCGTTTCCCTTACTATTTTGCTTACAATTCTTACACAAGGTTCCCTTACATCCGCTATTCGAAACCACATCCTGAGCCATAACATAAAAACATTCAAAACCTCTTACCAAGCGAGGCATATTCCACACAATTTGATGTCATTCGTTTTCGATAGTACATCTGAAGACGATTCCAAGCTATTCAAGCTATTGGCCTCCGCATCCTTGCGCAGGGATGACAAAGCACCGCTTTATCCGACAGCGGCTACGCTAGAAACGTTTGAAAATCGCGAGGATATGAAAGCAATTCGCGCACAGCGTCGTCACTTCCGAGAAGAGCTCAAACTCTCTGCAGACGATAGAGAGGTAAAGCAACTTACCGCAAAAATTGGAAATCTACGGACGGTATTATCAAACTTGGCTGTCAAGCAGGCTCGAGAAAACTACTTCGCTGAAGTTGATTCCCTTATTGTTACCATGCTCTTGGTACTTGTCTTGCCCTTGGTCCTGCTCCTCGTCTTGCTCGTCCTGCTCCTCGTCCTGCTCCTCATCCTGCTCCTCGTCCTGCTCCTCATCCTGCTCTTCGTTTTCTTCATAGTCCCTCCCTTTAGTATCGTTATTGCCAGCAACATTGCTAATATTTTGAGACTGACCAAAATGTTGCCTTTTGCTATGTAGTAGAAGGGTGGCGTTTAATTGCATTCACGATCAATTACTGTCTTTAATGCAATACTCTACATACATGAAAATGATCCGTATCACCAAGATCTATTTTTGTAGGAGGAAAGATTATGAAAGGGTGACTCGAGATGGAGTTGTCCTCCAAGCCTGCCTCTTAGGATGCAAGGCTGAGTAGCTTAACAACCGCCTTATGCCCATTTTTTGCCGCCATATATAGCGCTGTCTGTCCATTCTTATCCTTAGCACCTGCGTCAACCTTGCCAGTATCGAGAAGCAGCTTAACAACCGCCTCATGCCCATTCTCTGCCGCCATATATAGCGCTGTCCGTCCATCCTTATCCTGAGCATCTGCATCAACCTTGCCAGTATCGAGAAGCAGCTTAATAACCGCTTCCTGCCTATTCTCTACCGCCATATGCAGCGCTGTCTGTCCATTCTCATTCTTAGCACCTGCATCAACCTTGCTAGTATCGAGAAGTAGCTGAACGACTACCTTATACCCAGTTATCACCGCTTGATACAGCGCTGTCTGTCCAGCCCCATCCTCAGGATCTGTGTCAACCTTGCCAGTATCGAGAAGCAGCTTAACGATCGCTTTATAGTCTTTTTGCGCCGCAAACCACTGCACCGTCCGTAGCTCCTCCTTATGCAAGTTGACCTTGCCGGTGTCGAGAAGCAATTTTACGACTGTCCTATGCCCGTTTCCTGCCGCCAAGCATAAAAGCGTCCATTGGCCCTTGTCCTCAATAAGTTTATTTACCATTGTTTCCTTTGCATCTTCCTTTTCTGAATCTTCGGGACCTAGGCAAGTCTTTCTTAGGTTGCCCATGCTCCTCAATGCCCTCTCAAGAACCGCCGTTTCTTCCCGAAGATTCTTCACTACAACTCCATACTGTTTCACTTCTTGTAATACCAATCTGACATTCCGTATCCTAGTCACCGCCTTTAGACAACCTTCCAACTCTGTCTTTGAATGCTCTAGTACTGGAATACTTGTCAAGTAGTCATGGTTGTTTTTATCTTGCTGCCTGTCTGGATCTATATCCCAAGCCCAGATAAGTAGAAAATTGTGTGGAAAGACTGTTATCGATTGTAAAAGTTCTGACCACTTGATATCTCCGGTCGTAGCTTGTGAATCGCCTGCTGGGGAAACTGCAATCATTATAACCGCCCAGTGATCGTTGTATGGCCTGAGGATCGTAGGTCTCGACGCTCCTTGAAGAAGGTAGATGAGATCTCCTTTTTGGACGGATTTTACCATGGTCGGGAGGGTCCAGCAAAAGCCCCATGCTTCCTTCACGCAAATATAGCTGGGGGCATTCCTCCAAGTAATGACCACTTCTTGTCTGTCTTCCCAAATAGTATTTCTCGTGACCGAGGACACTTCGCCAAGAATGCAGCCCTTGCCCTCAATGACGGCAATTTCCTTATCGTCCGAAAGGTCTACAGAGACCAATTCAGATAAGAGGAAGTGGATGAGTTTGTTGAAGAGTTGTTTCCACGAAATGTTGTAGTCGGCGAATAATCCTGCTGCGGTTGGATTATCAGAGCTCATACCGAGTAAGGCATATACTTTATCGAGACGATCCGTAGCTTCGCGGGTGTGGTACATCTCTATCAATTCGCCTAGAGGGCGTATGTTAAGAGAAAAGTTGTCCGCCTGACTGGTTGCGTAGACGTATTTGGGCCGGAAGATTGCGCCCCGTATGAGGTAGGTTACCGAAAGGATTTGAGCCCACAAGTCTGCGGGGAGTTCATTGGACAGGTTCAATGCTCAGGCCTGAGCAGAATGCAAATCCGTCAACCTCAGCAGAACCACACTTGATCAGGATATGGCGAGCCGCGGCAACTTCCTGAAGCACCTGCATCAATCTGTCAGTTTCCTTAGTCATAATACTTTGACATCGGTTCCCTTACCCAGATGCGCTGAAACCACGGTCGTTCAAGCAGTGTAAGGATTCCCCCTTTATTGTATAATCGTCTTTTAGAAAGCTCGGCTGCGATGCGTATTTCTTCGAGCGCTTGGTCGCTACCGGCTGCCTCCTTTCCAAGCCAAACAATTACGCGACTTGCTTTAGCGTAGATCTTCGCCATAGATTGAACTTGGTGTCCTCTTTCTTCGTTGTCTCCTTGGTTGATGCAAATAGCATCTATCCATATAGTTCGTTGAATGGAGTGATCTCGAAGATGTAACAGCGCTGCGTAAAGGTTTTCCCTGACGGTGAAGGCGCACCCGTTTATAAAGATGGAACAAGGGTTGGCCTCGGAGCCCCACACGTAGGATAAGGCCTCGTACGGACGAGTGCCTTTTGAGTCCAATGTGGTGCAGAAGAGCCGACAGTGTATTGCGGTGTCCTCGTTTTCATGCGGCAATAGTTGAAGCAAGCGAACATGGCCACGTGCCAGGAGAACGTTGTAATACAGATTCTTTACAGGTGTTAGCGTTATTCTGAAATGTCGTAGGAGGAAAAGAAATAAGCCTACTTCCACCTGCTTCGGCCTTTTGTTATCCATGCAGACCAATTTAGATAGGAAGAAGTAGATGAGTTTGTTGAAGAATTGTTTCCACGAAATCTTGTAGCCGGCGGACGTCTCTGTATCGGCAGAACCGGTAGCTGGAGCGGCTGGGAGCCCGGGGGCGGGCATACGGGTAGCGGACATAGCGGTGGCGGCGGAGATTTGTTGCAAAGGTGCAGGGCGAGACTGCTCTTGGCCCTTATCATCTTCCCAACCCTCCGTATTGTGCAGTCGTTGAGACATCGTAGCTTTAAGGAACGAAGGTCTTGAGCGAGGCGACGTAGATGAGGCACTCAAGGATGATCGTATTGTCCTGGAGGCAGCGAATGCTATATAGTTGACGATCAATGGATTGAGTTTGTAAAAATGCTGCAGATTCTTCTATCCTGTCCCCAAGGACAAAATAAAAAGAAACTGGAGCACTATGTTTTCTCAAGGCTATGGTGGAGCATGAGGCGTCGTGGAGTCTGTTTCTGTTTCACTATATTAGGCGTAGGATGGCTGGCGGCTCCCTTCAATTATATACCAATAGTTCAAAGGATAAGGATATTTCTCTTTAGAGGCGGGGCATTCTGGACCCAGAGACTTCAGGGCGCCAATCAATAAACTCGACTTGGGCGAGGGTCGTGGCTTTCTGTCACGGGATCTACAGGATTGGCAATAGTGTACCAGTAGCGGCCTAGTAGCTTGCACTATTTATGGGGCCGTGGCGCGGGTAGGGCTCAGCTTTTCAGCTTTTCCCGAATGTCACGAGCGATGTGGTTACGAGAGATAAAGCTGAACACGTTGATTCCAGGTCTATAGTAGAATGACAAGATAAAGAAGAAAAAGAGGGAAACATGCAAAGACGCGCCTGGCGCCCAGGGTTTCAACCCAGGGCTCAGATGGCCGGTGCACGCGGCACGACATCATGTGCACGTCCCGCCGTGCCGGGACCCATCCGTCAATGTCGTGACACCGAACATCGTTCGTTATACAGCGTTATAGTTTCCAATCCTCCTCTAATCTTAACCCTCCAAGGCCCAGTCACCTTCCTCCATATCGGAGTCAAGGTCGAGATCATCATCCTCCTCCTCGCTGCTCATCCGATCAAGTTCATTTTGCAATAATTCTATGAGCTTCTCCTGAGTGTTCTCGAGGACCTTTGCTACGATGTAGTGATAGTAAGTTTCTAGTTCCTCATCTAACTTTTTGCTGCTCGTTTGCTTACTTTGTCTCTAAGCAGATTCTTGGCCTTCATATAATCGCAACAATGCTCGATCGCATAGTCTTTCACCGCTTTGGCCATTTGCGGGGAGAGTTCACAGCTGGGGTGGGCGGGGATGGGAGGTGGGACGAGGACGGTTCCGTCCGGTCTGGTTATAGTACGCGTGGATATACCCGCGATGCCCGTAATTATAGTAATGGTGAGGCCTATGGCTCCCGTGCCCGTAGTCTCTATAGCAATCTAGGATTACTAGGTTGGCGCTTTAGGTATAACTGTAATAGTGGAAGGGGCACTTGTAGGAATGGGAGATTTTTTGTCCGCATCCGTATCCGCTAAAGAGAGCCTAGCGTAGTATTGAGCCAGAAAGTCCTTTTCGGATTGCGGATGAGACAGGTAAACGGGGTTAGTATGATCCATTGAGGCTGGTGGGGGATTCAGCTGGCCTGTATGTACAAATTGCGGGATCGAATCAATCAACTGGATTCAATCCCAACCAGGTACCGCAGCCTATTGTCCAGTGGTACCAGGCTATGGCCGGCTCTTCGGACGACATCTACGCGCTGTCCCTGATCCTGCCGCACTTCCACTTCCTGTGCATGCTCTCCTACCTCGGCGGCGTCAGTTCGGGAAATGTGGTCATGGGCGCCCTGCTGGGGCTTGGTACGGCTGCTGCGATTGTGCTGAACACGGTGTCGGCGTGGACGGCGTGGGCGGTGCACCAGCCGCAGGGGGCAAAAGGAGAGTTAAGGGATGGAATAGTCTTGCTTCTCCGCAATGGAATACGCCATCTTGACAACAGTAAAAGGTTACTAGAATTTACAAAATTTCTATAAATTTGCCTATCCTCCCAGACCCTTCTGGTGGCACGCTAGAAAAATGAAACAAAGGGAAAGGAATTGAGAAAGACATGGAATACACTATATATCTTGAGAGAAACTAATAAAACAAACCAGTCCTGATGCGCAGCCGATGGATATCATCTGTCCCTGGAGGTCCCAATTAAACGGTCGGTAATTCGGTGGCAGCCAGAGTACGTTCTGGCCGTTGCAAGTAATCCAAGACCTATCCTGTCCCAAACTATAGCCATGGCTCTCTGGATTATCTAGTACAACTTGGCTTTCGGTAGTTTCTGTATCTATTTTAATACGTCCAACGTTGGTACGTAGGTAGCGATTAGTATCGTCAAACAATATACGGGTTATTGTAGTATTAGTAGTAATGGTTTGGAGGCAGCTCTCCGATGCCGGATCCCAGATCTTGATCGTGTTGTCCAACGAACCGGACGCGAGCCGCTGGCCATCAGGCGAGAATGCCACTGAGTAAACGTAGCCGCTATGGCCTTCTAGGGTCTGGAGGCAGCTCTCCGACGCCGGATCCCAGATCTTGATCGTGTTGTCCTCCGAACCGGACGCAAGCCGCTGGCCATCAGGCGAGAATGCCACTGAGAAAACGTAGCCGCTATGGCCTTCTAGGGTCTGGAGGCAGTTCCCCGACGCCGGATCCCAGATCTTGATCGTTTGGTCACTTGAACCGGACGCGAGCCGTTGGCCATCAGGCGAGAATGCCACTGAGTAAACGTAGTCGCTATGGCCTTCTAGGGTCTGGAGGCAGCTCTCCGATGCCGGATCCCAGATCTTGATCGTGTTGTCCTCCGAACCGGACGCGAGCCGTTGGCCATCAGGCGAGAATGCCACTGAGTGAACGGAGTAGCTATGGCCTTCTAGGGTCTGGAGGCATGCATTCCAATCCAATTCTACAGCCGGCTTAGTTTGAATCCATTCAGGTTCTTCTGCCCTGAAATTCCTCTTTATCAAGCTACCGCTTGGAGCAAATACAAGCGCTGATATGTATGTTTGAAGGGGAGCTTGCTCTATTATTGACTTATAAGATAGAGCAAACCGGTAAGCATCCCAAACAAGCTTTAATAACTGCGACTGATCATTACCTCCCTATATCTTTAGTTAGACTAAATTCCTAGTGCGGAGTTGGACTTGTACTTACTAGCAGGCCCTCGAGCTTTCTAATAGCAACAACGCCCATAGGTATAGCTAGGAGTAGACTTAGAGCTTCCAGCCAGTAAAGGTACTTCGTCTTGAGGAATATATAAACAACCTTCTCATCCCGTAAAAGATCATGCCATTTTGTATTCTTATCAGAAACTGAATCACACAAGTGATCAACCCAGTAGACGCACGAGTACCGCACTGTCGCTAGCGGGTCCGGATTTGGTATTTGGACCTTGTTGCTTGGAAATCCCGGTGCCCTTAAGTTATATATATCGCGTCGCAGTATTGTAGACATAGCTTCAAGTGACCTCAGGAAGATGATATAGTGTACATCTTCTTTCCCTTTAGGGAAGATCCAATCAAAAGCCTCTTGAGAAGCTTGGTTGCCAGCTTTATCAGAGACATTGGAAAGCAAAAAGTCCTGGGCTGATTGATGAACAAAATAGACAGTTTGTTCTCGTAAAGTTAGAAATGAACCGCAAAGCCCTATAATCTCTTTTAGAGATTCAAGATTGTTGCAAATGGTATTGGGCAACTTGGCGAGAGAGGCTAGTTCTTGAAGGCTGATTGGCTGGCGAACAATTGCGACAACAGCAAGAATGTGCTTGCAGTAATCGGATTCATCGAACTGGCTCATATCCTCTCTCATCCGCGCATATAGAGCATCCAGTCCAGATGGAAACATGCGTAGCTTTTCTACGGCAAACCCTTTCTGGACTTTTTCAAGCGCTTGGCAGACCAACGCCACCCAAAGGAAGGTATCTTGCGCGTTAGAGCACAGGTATTCCTGAACGGTCTTTTTCGTAATTGGGTCGTACTTCTTCAGCTCTTCTAGGTAATCCACCTTCTGCAGAATAAACGCATTGACAGCCGCTGCGACGGATTCCGCATTTAGCTCCAGGGAGACCTTCACTTTATCTGCGGCTTTCTCCAACCGTTCCTCAATTTGCGGCCAATTACGGCTTGAGACGATCCACTTGACTCGAGATCCAGATGATGACTGCTGAGCAATTAAGTCGAGAAGCTGTGGCAGGTCTGTTGTAACGCACTCGTCAAGCGCGTCAATGACTAGGTAGGTCGTTCGGAGGCTTGGGTCTCGTAGGATGTTGGTGAAGATTCTCGACAGGGCGTCCCACGTATTTGCATCTTTGAAGAGGCCTTTGCCTGCACGGTCGTACTCACTCCGCACGTGTGAGAGGATAGATGGCTGCTGGTCGATAAGTAGATAGATTAGGCTGCGCAGTACGGCGGTTGCATTGTTGATGCGAGAGTCGGTAGCTTGGCAGAAGAAGTAGGCCACATTGCAATGGCGCGCGTTGGTAGTATTACCTTGATCCAGCTCATTGATGATGCCGCACAGCAACATAGTCTTCCCTTTGCCGGGGTCGCCCTTGATCCAGAGTAGTCGGTGCTGTGGGTTGTTACGCCATTGTTGAAAGTCAGCGTTATTGAGGACCCAACGATACGAGTCCTGCAAAAGGCCGCCTTTAGTCCGTTCGATGCGGACTTTATCATCGCGAGGATCGGTAAGGCGCAAGTGCTTTAGGCATTGCTGGTCCTTCTCTGACATGTGCTGTATAACGAGCTGGTTAAGATGAGACGTCACTTGCTGAGCAGTGTATGTCTGGGTGTCGTCTCGGAAGCACTTTTCGGCGTCTTGGATAGCCCCCAAGTCAGCATTCCAGTCGTCAAGCTTGACTATATCCCAGAGAAGGGCTAGGCCGCGGTTGCGATAGCAAGCACAGACACTCTTAATCTGATAGGAGAGGAGCGCTTTATAGAGGTCAATAATTTGGTTCTCCAATTCGCCTCTCACTCCAGAAAGTTCGCCAATATGGGCGGTAGGATCCTTGAGAAGGATATTCGACAGGTTCCAGTACCAGTTCATTCTCTTAACAACGTAGTCGATCCCTTTGCGGTTGGCTTCGGTCGCAGTTACAGGATTGATAAACATCTATAGAAGTTAGTATGTGAAGTATCGCGCTCTAAATAGACGTACCTCTAAAGCAATACAAATGCCAGTCCAGGCGAGCGCGGCTTGGGGCACGGCCTGGGTTGCCGCATTTATAATGTTCTTTGCGGATAGAACAATATCCATGGCTATACCAAGGCTTTCTTTCACCTTAGCTTCCTTCTCAGTCTTAGCTAGGCCAGCATTGATAAGCTGATTCATTTGACGGCGCCTGTCCGAGTTGTTTTGGGCAATGATGTTCGGCTGGGATTCGGGTACTGTTAAGTCGGGGCTAGCCTGCAGCTGTCGGGATAGTATCTTCTCGTATGCGTCCACCAATCTGGCCTCTTCTTGTTTGAGGTCATTGTAGGCACGGTCCCAGAGTCGTACGGGTAAGCTGGTAGTAATGTCATCTGCATTGGTGGGCGTCTCTATGTTGACGGAACTAGTAGCTGGAGCGGCTGGGAGGCGGGTAGTGGTATTATCTGCGCCGGCGGACGTCTCTATGTCAGCGGAGCCGGTAGCCGAAGCGGATGGGAGCCGGGACGCGGATGTAGAGGTGGCGGCGAAGATTTGTTGCAGAGGTGCAGGGCGAGACTGCTCTTGGTCCGTAGAACCTTCCCGATCCTGCGCATTTCCGTATCGCTTGAGACGCGTCTGGAACCGCGAGCGCAGTCGTCGAAGCATCGTAGCGTTGGGGAAGGAACGTCTTAACTGAGGTAGATGAGGCACTCGAGGATGATCGTGTTGTCTTGGAGGTGGCGGATGCTATGGTTGATGATCAATGGATTGAGTTTATGGAAGTGCCGAGAATTTCTCTATCCTGCCACTAAGGACACAATAAGGAAAACAAACTAGAGCCCTATGTTTTCTCGAGGCTATGATGGAGCATGAGACTCTCTGTGTTGTCACCAAGTGCGAGATGGCTGGCGGCTTCCTCCCAATTACAGGCCAATCACCCAAACGACATTTCTTTTCTAGACGCCGGGCATTCTGGACCTAGAGACTTCAGGGCGCCAATCAATAACTCGACTTGAGCGAGGGTCGTGGCTTTCTGTCACGGGGTCTACAGGGTTGGCAATAGTGTACCAGTAGCGGCCTGGTAGCTTGCACCACTTATGGGGCCGTGGCGCGGGTAGGGCTCAGCTTTTCAGCTTTTCCCGAATGTCACGAGCGACGTGGTCACGAGAGACAAAGCTGAACACGTTGATTCCAGGTCTATAGTAGAATGACAAGATAAAGAAGAAAAAGAGGGAAACATGCAAAGACGCGTCTGGCGCCCAGGGTTTCAACTTAGGGCCCAAATAGCCGGTATACGCGGCATAACATCACGTGCACGTCCCGCCGTGCCGGGACCCATCCGCTAGTGCCGTGATACCGAATATCGTTCGTTATGCGGCGTTATGGTTTCTAATCCTCCTCTGATCTTAACCCTCCAAGGTCCGGTCACCTTCCTCCATGTCGGATTCAAGGTCGAGATCATCATCCTCCTCCTCACTGCTCATCCAATCAAGGTCATTTTGCAACAATTCCATGAGCTTCTCCTGAGTGTTCTCGAGGACCTTTGCCACGATCTAGTGATAGTAAGTTTCCAGTTCCTCATCTAACTTTTTGCTGCTCGTTTGCTTACCTTGTCTCTGAGCAGATTCTTGGCCTTTATGTAGTCGCAACAATACTCGATCGCATAGTCTTTCACCGCTTTGGCCATTTGCGGGGAGAGTTCACAGCCGGGGTGGGCGGGGATGGGAGGTGGGACGAGGACGGTTCCGTCCGGTCCGGTTATGGTGCGCGTGGATGTGCCCGCGATACCCGTGACTGTGGTGATGGTGAGGCCTATGGCTCCCGTGCCCGTGGTCTCTGTGACAATCTAGAATTACTGGGCTGGCGCTTCAGGTGTAACCGTGACAGTGGAAGGGGCAGTTGCAGGAATGGAAGACTTTTTGTCCGCATATGTCCGCTAAGGAGAGCCTAGCGTAGTATTGAGCCAGAAAGTCCTTTTTAGATTGCGGATGAGATAGGTAAACGGGGTTAGTATAATCCATTAAGGCTAGTGCTAAATCCAGGTCTCTTGGATGTCGTATATATGGCTTCGTTTCCAAAATGTCAAAGAATCTGTCGACTATAGACACGTGATCGGGATTAAATTCGGGTCCAAAAGTCGGAAGAGGAGAACGAGTGTGCGTGGAGTGGTATGATGTCCGTTCCTATGAGGGTCTTGAAGAGTTGACAACTGGCATGTCCAAGTCTGATGATACAAGGATAGGATGTGAATGCGAGAATAAGACAACCGAAAATCGGGGGATGTCCTGAACTTTTATCTTGAAACACAATCTGTAAAGAAACTCTCTTCACCTAATTTTTGCTGGAGGGAGCTGGGTTGGAGAAACGGGTGGGAAGAGGGGAGAGACCGTCTTGGGAGGGGTGGTGACGGAGAGCAGGGGAGAGATATAGAGACAGAGAGAGATAGTGGGAACTGTTGATGATGATGGATGGTGTTGTCGAAGGAGAAGAAGTTTAGGGGAAAGAAAGCACAAGTATGTGTTAACATAAAGACAATATTCCCATCCTCTTCGGTCTAGAACTAATTAGGCTGATTAGCCTGCCTCCTTCATCTAGATGCCTGCCTTGCCCTACTTCATTGGTCCGACTATTCGTCGCTCGGTAAAATCTAATGCCCGCCAATGAACGTTCTAGCCTAAACGCTAAACCCCGCCAGTAAACGCCTGCAGCTTTGTAAACAGGTCAACGTTCATCCGTATGTGGGCCCCACTCTTCTCTCTGAATCGCGGTATTGTTGGAGAGAAGGTCGTAAGTCGGCTGCTTATCGCTCATATTTCCCTGAGAACTCTAGAATTTTCAGGTCAGAAAAGAGTTTGTTGGTTCATACTGCAAGGTCTAGAAAAGACGTTCTCAATTTACTCTCAATATAAGTAGAGGTTCGTTCAGCGTCGGATACGGATGTTACTGGCAATGGTCTGAAAGCGGCAGTCTCTACATGTACTGAAACAATGGATACTGCCCGTATACAGTAGGGACTGAAATCAGTGTCCAGGTTTTCAATGTTGAATTAGTCTTAGCACGGACACTGTGCTGCCCCACAGCTTCGTAGAGTCACCTAGCCTGCCAAAGTCCACCTCGCTAAGCCCTACAGCCTAACCTAAACCGTAAGCCGTTTCTGGCGCTAATACAACCCACTCCAAACGCGCTTACAAATAACTCGCTTCGGCTCCGCTCCACAGGCCGGCGATTGTTGATGGTTAAGAACAACCCCCGATAGCTGCATAAGGATGCAAATATACAGATTAGAAACTTTTACGGTAGTTTTACATGTAACCGAATAGAGGCCTTCAGATTGCACTATACAGCAAGAAGAATTAAGATGAGCCTAGCTACTCCATTTCGATACAGCAGTTAAGGACGACAGCGTATAGGGATGCTCGGGCCCGAGGACTCGCTCCAGAGCCTCCACGCAGTCTTGCATCAACGCTAGGGCATCTTCATGTCGCCCTTGACTCTTCCACGCGAAAGCAAGGTTGTTCATGCTCGTCAGCGTGTCTGGGTGGTCGGCCCCGAGTTTCGTCTTGCTCGTCTCCATCACCTGCACAAACAGCTTCTCGGCCTCGTCCCACCGGCCCTGGTTCCTGTAGGTTGATGCCAGGTGGGCCATGGCGGCCAGCGTGTCTGGGTGGTCGGCCCCGAGCTTCGCCTTGCTCGTCTCCATCACCTGCACCTCCAGCTTCTCGGCCTCGTCCCACCGGCCCTGGTTCCTGTAGGTTGATGCCAGGTTGCCCATGCTGGTCAGCGTCGAGGGATGATCGGCCCCGAGCTTCGCCTTGCGAGTCTCCATCACCTGCACCTCCAGCTTCTCGGCCTCGTCCCACCGGCCTTGGTTCCTATACGTCGACGCCAGGTTGCCCATGCTGGTCAGCGTCGAGGGATGATCGGCCCCGAGCTTCGCCTTGCGAGTCTCCATCACCTGCACCTCCAGCTTCTCGGCCTCGTCCCACCGGCCCTGGTTCCTGTAGGTTGATGCCAGGTTGTTCATGCTCGTCAGCGTGTCTGGGTGGTCGGCCCCGAGCTTCGTCTTGCGAGTCTCCATCACCTGCACAAACAGCTTCTCGGCCTCCCCCCACCGGCCTTGGTTCCTGTACGTCGACGCCAGGTTGTCCATGCTGATCAGCGTCGAGGGATGATCGGCCCCGAGCTTCACCTTGCGAGTTTCCATCACCTGCACAAACAGCTTCTCGGCCTCGCCCCACCGGCCCTGGTTCCTGTACGTCGACGCCAGGTTGGCCATGCTCGTCAGCGTGTCTGGGTGGTCGGCCCCGAGCTTCGTCTTGAAAGTCTTCATCACCTGCACCTCCAGCTTCTCGGCCTCGTCCCACCGGCCTTGGTTCCTGTACGTCGACGCCAGGTTGGCCATGCTCGTCAGCGTGTCTGGGTGGTCGGCCCCGAGCTTCGCCTTGCTCGTCTCCATCACCTGCACCTCTAGCTTCTCGGCCTCCCCCCACCGGCCTTGGTTCCTGTACGTCGACGCCAGGTTGGCCATGCTCGTCAGCGTCGAGGGATGATCGGCCCCGAGCTTCGCCTTGTGAGTCTCCATCACCTGCACCTCCAGCTTCTCGGCCTCGTCCCACCGGCCTTGGTTCCTATACGTCGACGCCAGGTTGCCCATGCTCGTCAGCGTCGAGGGATGATCGGCCCCGAGCTTCGCCTTGCTCGTCTCCATCACCTGCACAAACAGCTTCTCGGCCTCCCCCCACCGGCCATGGTTCCAAAGCGTCGACGCCAGGTTGCCCATGCTCGTCAGCGTGGCTGGGTGGTCGGCCCCGAGCTTCGCCTTGCTCATCTCCATCACCTGCACCTCTAGCTTCTCGGCCTCCTCCCACCGGCCCTGGTTCCTGAATTCCAGGAGAAGCTTGGAGGGCTCGGAACAGAGACGAGCATGGTGTCGCCAGTAAGTTGCAGCGTAAAAGTAAAGTAGGTGGGTTCTCATCCGCCCAATATAGTCACCTTTACTTCTGCAAGGCCCGCTCTTGAAGATAGAGTACATAAGGTAGGTGACACAAACTTCCGTGATCGTATTATGCGGGTTTATGTTTAAGGACAATTTGAAGTGGCGCTGTTCCAGATATTCTTGGGTAGTATAATGGACCAGACGGACTTCTTGGCTCTTGTCGTCAACGATTGCCAATCCAGCGCAGATTGACACATCCAGGCTGGCAATGAGATTGTCTTCATCCAACTCGTTGCGACCAACCTCAACAGCAAGGGCATGCCTGAGTTCTTCTGTCGAAAGAGGTCGTTTTGCGTGCGTGATCCAGAGAAGAATTTGCGTCGCGAGGTTCTGAAAGTCCGGTTCTTGCTTATTGATTCGCGCCATGGTTTCGTCATAAGCTTTGTAGAGGCTGTCTTCTACCGAGAGCATTTTTGCTTTATCGTTCTGATGTTGCATGCCTCGCAATACATCACGCACCCCTTTGGGCGTAGACTTGACCCTGAGCGAGTCCATATAAAGTCGCGCCAAAAGAAACCTATAGTACAGAGATTAGCCTGCTGACAGTGGTGAAAGCACGATGACAACTTACATTCCCCGGGTGGCTTGTAATATTGTGTCCTTGACCTCTTGCCGGAGAGCTTTGTTGATAGGGAGTTTGTTGGTATGGAGGGGCGATGAGTCTGGCATACTTGAAAGCCACCCTTCCACATATGCCCCCACGTCATCCTGGTTGGCAAATATGTCCACTTTGGAGGCGTCGCAGAAGAATTGGCTGATGTCTGCAAGAAGTGGCCTTGAAGTGACAAATATTTTTAGGTTTGGGGAAGATCGTCCAAGTTTGCCCAGCTCGTCCACCAATGCATTTCGATGGTTGTCATCATCGAGCAATTCATCGAGTGCGTCAACAACAACGTAAACTCGAGTAAAGCCCTGAATGACGTCCTCCAACGCCTGTCTTACTTCCTGGCGAGATGGCCTGGTGGATTTCAATGTGTGTTTCGCATGTAACTGTGTCACACCCGGCGACAAAGATTCCCTCGAGAGACACAGCTGCTTTGTAAGGCTGGAAAGAAGTCCCAGGGCTGTTTGCTCGTCCTGGCGTTTGTAATCGCAGTATATGTAAGCGACCTCGGTCTCACCAGCTAAAGAGTGGGAACCACTCGCTAGATCTTCGATAACGATCGAAGATAAGATGGTCTTTCCCGCTCCTTGGATTCCTTGACAGAACAGCACCCTCACATCCTTATCTCTCCATGTTTGGTACTCGGCTGAATCGAGGAACCACTTACCGGTCCCTGGTTGTTGTTTATCCCGATGAAGGCTATGTTGTGGTCCAAAACCGATGTCTGTAAGCCAGTCAAGCACCCTTGACTTTTCGTTTTGGCGTTGGCCAGAGTCGATAGTAGTCCGGATGACATTCACATCTGTTGCGGTTGCATGAACTAATCCACAAACTAGTTTGAGGTCAGAATAAATCCCAGGATAAAGTTACACGAGTCTAAGTGTGTGACCGAGGACAGAATGCATTTGAAACAATGGACATGACGAAATGGATCTGACGAAATGGATCTGACAAAATGGATGTGATAAAATGGATGTGACAAAATGGATGTGACAGAATGGAATGTGATTTAAAATGAGATCAATTGACATATTGTTGTTGTTTTGTACATAATGAAATGTGGGGAAGAGGATATGAAGGTCCGAGGGAAGTTCAAACTGCGATTGAGCCTTGGCCAGACAATCATACTGGGATGGTTTGAGAAGGTAACTCCAATGACTTCGGCTGACCTTTATTAACAGTATTCATGAGCTCAGGTATATCCCTCGCTGCTCGTTCTTGACGAACATTTGCCGGCTGGAGTACCTCGAGAAGTTCCTTTGTGTAGGCTGCAGCAACAGCAGCCGCGTACTCTTGCCATCTCTTATTCTTGTGCGAGTCCGCATAGTCACAAATGCCCCGTATAACAAGACAAGGAAAGCTGTTCATCAATCCCGCTGCTTCCATTTCAACGCAAAGTACGCGGCCGCCAAGGTCCTTGTCGAGACTGTCGCGGAGTATGGCACTCTTGATAACCTTGTTGCCCGAGGCGATCAGTCCGTAGTGTATCTCCATTGGCCGTGGCTTTCTCTGAATAATCTGGGAGGCATCACAATTGTCGCAATTGCTCACTCTGTCGTTTCCTTCAAGCTCGTGGTGTGCAGAGTCAGGTGCAAACAGCACATCGTTGAGAGAGTCCTTCCGGAGATACTTGGAAGCGAATTTCGGCCTTTTGCTCTCCAGCTCCTTGAAGAATGCTTCGATTCGGGATTCCTCCACCTCATGCTTTGCGACGAGGTGGCTTATCGCTGTGAGTAGTGCATCCGGCGGTCTGTTCAATGCCCCTGTCCGCTTGAAGACGGTGGTATTCTGATCCTGCAACGCCTTCCCCATATCCCACTGAACTACACCAGGAAAGTGATCGGTAGGCACGCTCACGACAACATCTCCGAGACGGACGTCATGTTTGGGGATGCCACCACCAATACCAACCATCAGTCCAAATTTGATCGATGGAAATGTTGACAGCATTCGGGCAATGACAGTTGCTGCTGCTGTTGTGCCAACTTCGCCCATCGGGAGGCAAGCAATGACAATGTTGTGCTCCCTTATTGAACCAAGCATATACGAGTTGGCGTCGTTTTTCGAGTTTGGAAGAGGAGCATGAGGGATATCCAGCATGGCCATTGCCGCTGCCAGTTCTTTGGGGAGTGCGCAAACCCAACCTATGGTGTAATCGGTATGGGACCTGGGGTTATCGGTCCGTTCGGTCGCCATCTTGTGAAAGACCGGTCCGGCGCCCGCCGGTCACGAGAGCGTGTTAAAGACGCAGAGGAGGGAGCAGCCGAGCGGGAATAGTGTGATATAGTTTGTGCGAAGTGATGATGATAGAGGGTGTAGGAGCGCGAAGGAGCCTGAAAGAAAGACTTCTCAGAATCGGCGGGTGATGAATTGAAAAAGTGATCCGGAAAGGATCCAAGACACTTGAGGAAGTGAGGCTCTGGCAAAGTGAGGAGTATATCAGCTACTGCACAACCAACACCCATTCATCCCCCCGCGTGACCAAATTTGAAGAGATGCATACCTTAGGTGCGGGCTAGTGTCCATCTGTCCCCATTAAAGGCATTCCAGCACGAATCGCTGGTGAAGTTGTCAAGTTGTCCATGCTCGTAAGCATTAAGGAACTTTCAGCTCAGGCAGCCTGATGGAGCCCAAAGGATGCATCTTCGCACAGCCACAGGCGTCTACCTTAGTTTCGACGGCGCTGGACGAGTGGACAACGAAGGGTTCCTATTGGACAACGAAGGGTTCCTATTGGACAGTGGTGGTTGTTATTTGATGGCGATGCAGTCAGTGTGATGGAGAATGGAGACCGGGACCTGGCCGCAGGTGGACGTCCACCAGCAGCGGCCTGGTAGCTTGTACCAATCATGGGGGTGTCATGGCCCAATCCTGTAGAGTAGATAAGGAGCGTGGGGCTCGTGCGACCATATTCCGTTGTTTTTTTCTTTCTTTAGTCATAAATTCTATGTCGAAGTTCAACCAACTGCTGCAGCCTTGACTCGCTTGTTACGTACTCTCACAGGGGGCGTGGCACAGATAGGGCTGCAAATTCTAATTGGAACCTGCAAATCGAAGTAGAGCTTAAACTGTCAGTGCTAACAACCAAGTCGTTGCGGTAACCAGCGTTACCATAACCACTTGTTGATCCTCATATCCTTAAAGTGGACGGTGTTTCTTAACGGAATGTTGCGATAAAGAGAACCGGCCGGTCTCCTCTTGTCTTGTTCGTTGCCGAGAGATTCTTTGTCGGGATAAATTCTGACGACTGAAACAGGTTGGCAGGCCAGTCGCATGCGAAGAATCGGTATCTCTATTATTCTTGTTCACTAGGTTGTGGTGGACGTCTTGCAGCGTGGATCGTGTGGGATCTGGACCGAACCCCACCGGAGACGCAATTTCAGAACGGTCAATTCGTCTTGTAATCTGCCCAATTATATTGAACCTTTCAGCGTCAGCTCTACACTCACCCTAATTCCTCCGTCCTTGACGGGAATTAAGCATAGAGTATACGGGCCAACCAAGCCCCTGGGAATACAACAGCCAAAAGAAGCTAGGATGTGCAACCATTGGACCAGGATAGGCTCACGACCAGGACAGGCTCACGACCAGGATAGGCTCACGACCAGGATAGGCTCACGACCAGGATAGGCTCACGGCGGACACTCGGTGAGCCGGGCTCACGAAGGTGAGCCGGGCTCACACTCGACAACAAGTGAGCCAGAACCACAATGGTGAGCCAGGATCACAAGGTCACCGGAACAACATTGAGGCACAGGATATAAAGGGACGACTGGAGAACTCAGATTGTCAGATAGTTCGACAGTAGTCAACAGACCATTATCATTGAGACTAGTATAACGCTACCATACTTATTGTGAACCTTTTGGCTTCACCGAACGTCTTCTGATAGTCTTCACCTTCAGCTATCCTATTTAGGCAGATCAGACTGCCGTTCGTCACAGCGGATTGGCCTGGCTTCGCGTGCAGTATTAGCGTTCCTTGACATTGCTAGAGTAACAGACGACAGGTTTCATCTGCCTAGTTCCTCATGCGTGCCCTTCCATCGTGATTAATTTGTCGTATCGATCATCAAACCGTGATCCTTCCTCGTGGCTGGGTCATTGAACCGTGGTCCTAGTCAGATCACCGAACCCTTCATCGGCCGATCGTCATTTATCGTTTTTTGAAGCACATACTATTGCATATAGATCTCTTCCTTTTGGAGTTGAGTAGGGCAGCAAAAACCAGCAAACTCCTAAGCGTCCAACAAGACAAGAGCGAGAGATTCCCTTGCCACGCTCTCATCAGACTCGGCGACTAACTGCATACACATACATAACTGGACCGAGGTACTAGGAACCAATCAGGAATGGTCTTCTGACCGAGTGCAATCTTGGTGTTACCCGTGTAAAAAATCTAGCCGCAGTGTCGGGACGGTCAACTTTTCTCGTAATCCGCCCAATTATATTCATCTTTTTAGCGCCGCCTCCCTACTCACCGTAATGCCTCCGTCCGAACGATATGGATATGGGAGGTGGTTGTTCAGTTTTTTGACCCTACCACGTGATTAAAAGACCCGGTTCATATCCTTTCGACTCCGATAGATAAGCTACCATATCGCCTGAGTAGTAGTTGGGTCGGTGACGACCAGCGAATCCCAGGTGTTGTATGTTTTTTTGAACTTTTTTGTTCTATTTTATACTTCCTCTTTGAAACATCACATTTTCCTGTGGTTTTCTTTTCTTTTTCCTTTTTGCTTCGTTGGGTGATGTTCTGTAGCAAATGGTATCCCAGATGTCTTGATCTACACCTACTTGAAATGATTGAGCTTTCCGCCTCCATTGTGCTCGCAGTACAGTAACAGTGGCGATGACATCACCACCCTTCCATCACCGTCACCACTTGTGTACATAAATCAACAGTTGAAAGACAGCAATATAATCATTAGAACCCCTAATCTTTTGGTTCATTTGTTTTTGTCCCCCTCCATTCAACAACCAGCCCACCTGTTAGCGACCACACGACCCCCCTCACCAGTCAACAATTACACACTAACAACCACCAACCGCTAGAACAAACAACACAACACGACACAAACACATCAACAGTCATCCACAACCCAAAATGTCCCGCCTCCTAGAATAACCCGCCTCCCCAACCGCGCCCGCCTCCTCCCCGTGGCTCCTCGACGAACCATGGCCACAGAGCTCGGCACCTCCAAGTCCCCGCAAAACGGACAGAAGGGCTTCGTCTCCGTCGGTTCACAGACACAGGGTGATTCGCCTTCGAACCAGGCTCCTACTGAGGTATGTTTGTTGTGCTTTTATGTCTGATTGTTTGGACGACGGACGGACAACTTTCTATTTGTCTGCCTGAGAGACAGTTATGTATCGGTTGTTTGCTGTATTTGAAGTGACGAATGGCGTGTATACTGTGTGGTAATGTGAACTGGACAATTAGGCCAAACAAAACCTCCAGAAGGAGAGTAAGGGCAAGCCGGATGGGATGAAGGGGGATTCGAAGGAGGCGAGGGCCGCGGGGGGTGGTCAGAAGGCAGGAACTTCTGGTCAGAAGTGAAGTGATGAGGTTCGTGTGTACGATATGTGAATGTTTGATGCGGTAATGAGTCGATGAGAATGGTATGATGTATGGTTGAGAAGTGCCTGTCTTCTGACTTCGTTGTATGCTGCCATATTTACAGGAGAAAGTTTAAGCACGAGTTTATGATTTGAACTACTGGAGCGGACAAGTTTCTGGCTGGGCCGATGAGGTTGGGCGGCGTGGATGAATCAGAGAGTTTTGGTATACGTAGATAAGAGTGATTTTGTTGAGACATGTAAATTTACAGCATAATTCCCCCCGTCTTTCCCATTTACTGGCGACCGGCAAGCAACCAGACAATCACACCCTCCAAAGCGAATGTCGCAAAAACGACAATATAAAATGCAACCGTAATCCCAAAGACCTTGAGGTACATCTTGACCAGTCTAGTCCAGCCTTCCCTCCCGAAAGTGGTCAAGGCGTCCCTCATGGTCAAGAATGTCTCGCTGCCGCCACCTAGCACCGCTGGGTCCAGCTTGCCCTTGAAGGACCGGTCGAAGGGGACGATGGTATCCTCAGTGGGTGGGAGTAGTGAGGCTTGCACGCGCCTGAGGATGACTTGAGCCGGGATCACGGCAAAAAGGTATAGTAAGATAGCGAGAGCAGCCACTGGAATGCCCTTCAATAAGAGCATGCCCATGTTGTCGTCCGGGTTCTCGGGCAGACGAAGTGGCAGCCCAATTATAACAGCCAACAGCCGAGGGATTTCGACCGCCACGACACTGGCAGCCCAGTGTACTAGCAAAGGCAAGGCAGTGGCTTGGAAAACATAGCGGAACGGCAGAGTGCGGCTGTACCAGGGGCGAGCGGAGGGAGGCGTGATGACGATGTGTACCCAAGCGGTTGACAGTTGCGTGAGCAGGACAGTAGCGATGAAGCTGCCGACGAAGTGTGGCAGGAAGGTGTAAACCGTTATAAAAGCGGCGAGAATAACCGTGCAAAATATGGTTATAAGCCCGCAGACCAGCCCGCGGAAGTAGCCTTCCTGGCCCCAAACCCAGAGAAGGCGATGCGTAGCGCGTAGGGACGAGGTGATGGGCTTTCCGTTGGCTTCGATGACCTCAAATTCGCCCGAGGGCGCAGAGCCTTCTTGGGCATCGAGTGGAACGGGCGTATATTCAGGCGGTGGGTTTGGGTCTTCAATCATAGCCAGCGTTGGGAAGACCATGTGCGCTGTGTAATAGACCTGTGTTGTTGCGGGCGGTTAGCATCATGGACAAGAGAGATTGTGTTCACGAGATGGCGACTTACTCCAATGGCGGGATAAATGAAAAGGAGGGCCGTGATGAAGTATATAGCGAGAGGAAGCCCAGCGAGGATGGCCTCGTCATTTGAAGCTGGAGGGTTGCTGCCGCTGGGATCGTTGACTTCCATGCCATCCTCAATATACCTCTTGGCGAGGCTACCGCCCACGGCGGCGATGTGGTGTAGCATGTTGTGTATCCGGATGCGCTCGATATGGTGCCTTTAAAGAGACAAGAAAGGATGCGAAAGTCGAAGGGCGGAGGATTGTGAAAAGAAGGAGTCAGGATGGCCAATTCGGAGACAACTGAAGCAACTTGTCCTCGGTTGCAAGATGAACAAGTGGCAAACGATGGATTATCGGGAACGATGGACGAAGCGAAACCACATGGAACCCGAAAGTAGAAGAAATGAAACCAGGCAGTGCATTGAGCGTGATGATCGCCCGTCTTATAAGTCATCCGCAAGGGCCGGACTGTTGCTGACAAGGCATCCTTGACCTAGCGTTAGTCGGCCGCTTCTACCACGGTAGCGTGGGGCGCTAACGCCAGGCAGCTCCTGCAGGCTGTACCCCGCCTGAATGTCAGTGGGCACAGGGGGGAGTTGCTTATCGCGCTTACAAAACAGGGTAATGCAGTTCGTGCCAGCCCGGCACCAGCTACAAGTTCAATTTCCAACTTTCAAATTTCAAACCTTCGCATTCCACCCACCGCAACCCGATATAGAGCAAAGCAGTGCAAAAAGCCGGCTACTGGGCCAGCTGCGTTTCGTGGATGCGTTTCCGTTCTTTCAGCGTTGATATTGCTCGAGATACTTGCGGTTCGACTGGAACTGAGGTACCTGGACTTGGCGAGAAAAGGTGGAAGAAAGCGCCAAGACTGTAAGCGCGATAATCGACACCCACAGGGGCACTTGCAGTTTGCTTGCAGTTTGCTTCGGGTCTTGGCGGGGCAACCACCCCTGCAACACCGTACATAGTACAGGAACATCGGCTGTGACGACGTCAGAGCTTCCTTCAACACCACAAACGGGGAGCTCACCCGACATTATCTACATCCCAACCCGAATATCACACAAAACCAGAACAGCTTACCTCATGTCTGGAACAGCACCCTCAATACCAAACCTCCTCACCCTACGTGGTCGTATCGGCGGCGCCGGCGTCACTCGGGGCCGTTACCGGGGCGTCATCCACCGGGGAGGTCGCAGCCACGGTTCTGGAGCACCCAGTGCCTCAGCAGCTCACGATGCCACCATCCAAGGCACCGACACCGACGCCGCCGTCTCCCGTCTCAGCGCGGTTCAGATAGGCTATCTCGACGATCCGTATGCCGAGCTGTTTGCCCAGTCCGGCCCCGGTACCGCCAGGCGACTGCCCATCATCAACCGAGGCACCCACGCCCGCACGACGGCCATCGACAAGCTTGTCGACAAGTTCCTCGACGACACCGAGAGCTCTCCAGAAGGGCGACAGATCGTCTCTCTAGGCGCCGGCACCGATACTCGCAGCCTCCGATTATTCTCCCCTTCCGCCCCGACGCCGCGTAAGCGCGTCATCTACCATGAGATCGACTTCCCCGTCATGTGCGAGAAGAAGCAGCGCATCGTCCGCGGCGCACCCCAGCTGCGGTCTATTCTCTCCGACCCGGAATCTGTGGAGGAATTGAGCCAACACGGCGGTGGAAACTCCTGGCACAGCAAGGCCGTGGCGGAAAAGCACGAAGGAAGCGAGCTCTGGGTCCACGGGCTAGATCTCCGCGCTATTGCGGCCTCGCAACAGCCTCAGCAGCCACTACCACCGGGGGTACCGATCGGTTCTAGGGGACTTCACGCTTCACCCTCTGACAGCGATTCGACAACACAACAAAAGGAGCAAACCGAAGCTACAACACAAACTCAACAAAAAGAACCACTAACGCTAACATCCCTCAACCCGAACCTCCCCACCCTCATAATCTCCGAATGCTGCCTCTGCTACCTCCCTCCCTCAACCGCCTCCTCCATCATATCCTTATTCACCACCACCATCCAATCCTCCTTAGGCATTGTAATCTACGAGCCCATCAAGCCCGACGACGCCTTTGGCAAGATGATGGTTTCGAACCTTGCTGCTCGGGAGATTAAGATGCCGACGTTGGAGGTGTACAAAGAGGCAGGGGACCAGGAGAGGCGGTTACGGGAGGCTGGGTTTGGTGCGGATGAAGGAAAAGGAGGAGGAGGGGGAGCAAGGAGTAAAACGATAGAACAGATTTGGGAGGAGTGGACGAGTCAGGAGGAGAAGGAACGGGTGGATGCACTGGAGGGGCTGGATGAGGTTGAGGAGTGGAAGTTGTTGGCGGGGCATTATATTGTTGTTTGGGGGTGGAGGGGGGTGGGGGTTGATTTGGGGATATAATACTTCTAGACTTGGTGACCACTGGGTTAGAGGTGGAAACATAATGTTAATCGGGTACCACTTGAACTCGTGAAGACTTGACGGCTCGATTCTGTATGTCTCCTACCTTGACGGGTTTGCGAATGTCATTTGCCAATTACTATCAAAAGCTCGTGTCCAATGATATGTATATGCTCAACATCGGCAAGTACGTTTTGGCGTCTGCCATCTCTTTCATTCGACGAAGCGGCGCAAATTTCACGGGGCCACACTTTTGTCATCAAGCTTGCACCGTCGCAGTTAGTATCTATTATTACTCCTACATCATCAGCTATAAAAGCAACAGATGGGCCATCAAGAGACGGCATGCAAGGTGCCAATCGATCATGCCGCTCGTTCTCTTTCCCCAAGTAAAGAGCAAGTAAATATCCGGCACTGAATGATTGACCCTCTCTTCTACCTTATTAGACTGCTCACTTCAAGAATTAAACCTCTTTGCGCCGTAGTGCCTTTACTCCAACATGAATATCGTTCTTACTCAAAACAGAAAGCAAAATAAGCCCAACATCCCTAGCACTCCTGAGCCTATTGAATCCAGTTGCGCTTCCTCCTCTCAACCTCAAGAGCTCGTGGCTAAGTGACCTGGTTCTGAAAGCAAGAAAAGAGCCCAGAAACCCTCAACTCAAATAATCAACAAATCCGTCCTCGGCTGCAACCTAGTCCCATTGAGCATCGCCCTCCTCTTCTTGCTCGGATCCTGCAACCTCCTAAACGCCTCATGGATATGTCTCGGCTCCACCGGCGTCCTTCCCTCACCAGGGGGATCAAACAATCCCTTGGGCAGCTTACGCTTCTTCGTAGGACCCGCCTCGCCCGTGCGCTCCTTGAGCAGGTCTTCATGGTCCTTGATCTTGAGCGCCTCCTCCGTGATGCTCTGCACCATTTCAAACGTCAGGAACCCCAAAATGTCGACGATATCGTCAGAGGGTTTACTATCCGTCACCTGTCCGAAGCCGGCCCACTCCCTGAACCGCTTGCCCTTGCGGTAGGTAAAAGAAGCCTGCCGGAACTCGGACCAGGTCACGTACTCCTCGCGCGTCATGGCCTTGGTGCGCTCGTCGGCTTTGCGCAGGCGTTGGAGGGTGATGTAATTCATTTCCTCTTCCTCCTCGTCTTCTTCGTCTTCGCGCTCGGGGACTTCAACAGAATAAAAGGAGGAGGGTTCCCAGGGGAGGCCGACTTTGGCTTTTTTGTTTTTCTTGGCTGCGTCGTCGACGGGACCGCCTGCGCCGGGGACGATACCAGCCGCGGCGGAAGGGTCTTCGCCTGCGGCGCCGATGTCGGCGTCGCCGCCTTTGTCTTCGCTGTCTTTGACGTTCTTGCGCACGTCTTTCCAGGATAAGAAGGTGCGCAGCCGAGAGACTTTGGGCGCGTCGTCGCGGATTTGGAAGATTAGGTCGTTGATGGTTATGGAGCGGGAGCCGCGGCGGGCGGCGAGTTCGGTGCAGTTTTTGAGCTGCGAGGGAAAGTGTTAGTCTTCGAGTTTTTCTGTGATATATGTAGAGGGCGCGCGGCTGGACAGTAATGACTTACCATATGGATGACCTGCTGGCGCACAATGTCTTCGATGATGCTCGTGGTTTCAACGGATGGCTCGCCTGTTTCTCCAGAGACGTACATCATCTGACGAACATTGTTAGTAAATCTGGCAATGAACTGGTCCTTTGTCTCTGCTCTTTTCTTCCAGTAGAACTCCCATGGGTCTTTTGGGTACGGGTTGGCGAAGTCGTTGATGCCTCTACGCTCTGTTTCCGCTCCACTTGAAGGGAAGACTATGTTATTAGGAATTGGGGACTGAGGTCGCTTGGCCTGGTTTTCTGTGTTGATCTCATCAAGGGCAGTGTCGAACGCGTCTTGGAAGAGATCAAGCCCGTCACCAACTTGGTTGACGGAGGAAGAAATGGTAGGAGGACTCGCAGTAGGGCCTTCTCCCATGACTGTATCTTGCTGACTGGGCGCTGAAGGGATGATGATCTCGTTATCGATCCAGTCATCCCACTCGGTATCCATTAAATCCTCATCCGACTGGGTGGCCAACTCTGATGGCTGATCCGGCGTAATGTTCTCAGGGATGGATGGTTCCTCGGGAAGGTCTTTGGACCCCATGTCCACGTCCATAGGCTGATAAGTCCGATCTTGAGCGGAAAACCAAACATCGGCGCTATTGATGGTCTTGGTCCCGTCCTCGCTCGGGTTACAAGAACTCCAGAAGGTATCGACGGCATCACCAGTAACACCTTCCGATGAAGGACATCTAGTCGCAGACTTATGATCTTCGCATTGAGGCTGAGCTGTGATCTCCGGTAGAAGTATCGAGGTCTGACCAGCCTCGTCACTTCTGGTAATGCTCTGCAACTCACTCCCTGCAGTCATCTGGCCCTTCTCCAAAATCGTTTGGGTCTCGACAAGGCTTTCCAGGGCCTCCTTCGACACAACCGGTTGGTCAGGCTGTTGGGTCTCAGAGCCGGAGCTCTCATCCGGTGTAGCAAGGTGGTTTGCTAGCGAAGTGAGGACTTCTGATGGTCTATACGGAGGTGATGAACATTTGGACGGGAAGAGATGGCTGGGCTTTTCAGTTGTGGAATGAAGATGCCCGTTGCCGAGATCCCCCGAGAGAGACTCGTAGCTGCGGCCAGGAGCAATGATCAAATCCCCGGCATCATTTCCAGGACTTGGATCTCTTTTTCTCCTGCTCTTGTGAACTGAACTTGTGTCGTCTTCCAGCGTAGCATTAGTGGACGCAAAACTCCCTAGGTGTGTGACCTGCCCAGAGACATCGGAATCTGCGAGAGGTTCAGACCCGCTACTTATGGACATCGAGTCAGACGATGATATGGACAGCTGTTGTTGCTCCTCCAAGCTACCTCCTGGGTGTGTGCCTTCCTAAGACACATCGGCACTCGGGAGAGAGTCGGGCCCGCTACTTATGGGCATCGAGACAGATGACGGTATGGACAGTGGTGGATCCTCCTCCATGTCAGGGCCAGAAGAATGCTGGCTACCTCCTGGGTGTGTGCCTTCCCAAGACACATCGACACTCGGGAGAGAGTCGGGCCCACTACTTATGGACATCGAGACAGATGACGGTATGGGCAGTGGCGGATCCTCCTCCATGTTAGGGCCAGAAGAATGCTGGAAGACTGAAACTGCCTGGGAGCTGTCCGAAACTGGAGTCCCAGAATGGAGGGGCTCCAAATGCTGCGGTGGTTGCTCGGAAGAGGCCGCCAAGGCGGCCCCCAAGTGAATGGCTGGGTCTGCGGGCACAAGCTGTAAAGGCACGCCTGAACTGTTGGCGGATTTCTCCATGTTGCCTTTTGGAGTGCTTCCTGTAGAGACACGACGTGTAGGGGTGTCTGATGGTGATTGCTGGCTTTCGAGAGTAGAGACCTGCTGTAGCCGTGGGCCGGAGGATCTAGTAGGAGGCCTTCCTCGCGAGGTCTGAGGGGTGGGATTGCTCGCTGAACTGGTCCTCTTCGGTTTTCTTGACGGCTGGGGAGTTTCTGATGGCCTCGCCGATTGTGACCGCTGGATGCGTGTCGAACGCCGCAGAGGAAGCATGAGCTCGGGGGGCTCGGGGGGCTCTGGTGAAGATATGTCTTCCTTCGCGGCCGACGCGACGGTTCCAGAACGAAGCCTCATGGTTTTGACTTTGTGGGACTTGTTGTGAATGTGAAATCACAGGTTTAGGTGGGTGAATGGTCGCGAGATGTGGATCTAGCTGCGTGTTCGAACGAAGGTGGTGGGTGAATGGCAAAGGAAAAAGAGCGGCTTGTGCTTTGCTGATGAACGAAACAAAAGAGTCGCCGTAAATGGCCGACCCACGCAGGTTGTTTTTGTTTAAGGCCAAAGTGAGATTGTTTGGAGAGGGAGTGAATCGAGGCTCCTGCCGTCCCTGGACACCCAAAAGGCCGATTTACCACGCGGCCCGGTAACCGGGCAACCAGGCAACCATTGAAGCTGGCGAGCAACTTTCAGTTGACGGCGAAAAGCAAGAACCACCTTTCTCTATTTGGGCATTGTACTGTGAGCAATGCAAAACCTCCCACTTCGCTGGGGCTCGACGGTATTCGCGGCTTTCCAGATGATGACTCGTCATCCCCAGAACGTTCTTCGAGATCTCTAACCTCTCTCCTGAGCTGGCTCAGACAGTCCGTAGTTCGGGGATTCACATTTATAAGGCAACAGCGTGCACGGGCACAAAGCGACGGGAGGAGGATGCCAAAGCACGAGATATGAGCAAGGAGAAGTTTTTCAGTGAGCCTGAACACTTGCCAGGGCACTCTACTTGCGAAACACAATTGTCATTTTGCGCGCAAGGTGAGCCACTAACCTGCTGGATTTCCTGGCGGTATTTGTACTGTTTATCCTTGTCCTTGTCCGCCATCTTGATCGATTTCCAAAGGGCGATTGTCTGATTAAGTCGTTTATAAGCTGCCTTCTTTTAGAAGCGGTAACAAATGTCGAGGAGGAAAGAGACCACGCGTTCGATTCTGAGCGGGGTTCAAGATATTGTCGACAGGGCGAAGAAAGTATTGGGTATCAAGTTTTTGACGCAGATGACAAGGAAAGGTTAGGTAGAAGTGAAGGTGGGAAGAATGGAAATCAACCGTTGTGTGAGAAGCTGCAAGAGTTGATGTCCGGTTGTTCGGCGGACGTTGTTGAAGTTCCGGTAACCAACAAGGTTCCTGGTACTGTCACGTGATGCATACATGCCGCAGAACGTTCTTGGACCATGCGTCGTCGGCGGTTCAGAAGAAACAGTAATCGAGTTTGACGTCTCATCTTCTAAGACACTCGAGTGCAATCATAAGGCTGGGTCGAGTGCAATCATAAGGCTGGGTCGAGTGAATCATCTGCGAGATGTATTAGACTGTTGAAGTGGTTGAACTCAGAATCGAGTAAACGGAAGTGATCAGGAGGTGGCATCGCAAATGCGATACAAAGTAGATCTACCTGTAGAAACACCTACTCCACACGAGATAGCAAGTACCTTCTACTTCCTCTTACGCATCCAGTCCACTGAACAAGGGGTTTCTTGTGACAGCCAATGACCCTGTCGATCCGCATGCGGCCCCACCACCTGCCCCACACAAGCTGTGTGCTCGCCGTCGTCCCGTCTCCTCCAACTTCACGACAACCTCGCAAGTTGCTTGAGCCCCATCTTATCTTCAACTTCATTGTCTGTCCCTTGACCAGTCGCTCATATTGGCATTGTCTACCTAAAAATATTCCTTTGAGACAGCAAACATCCAGTAATCACCCCAAACACATCCTAGAAATGCCTCCCGCAGGAGCTGCCTTTGTGGTACGTCATCCCAGCTCCACCTCAAGTTAACTACAGTCCACAACATGTGACGTCTCCATGGGCGATGAAGCTAACTCTGAACACAGGCCAAACTCAAGGTCCAACTGAAACTGGCCATCGCCAGACTGCGCATGGTCCAGAAGCGGGATGAAGCCCTAGCCAAGACCCAGCGACGGGCTATGGCGCAGTTGCTAGATGTTGGCAAGGAGGACTCGGCCCGCATCCGCGTCGAGAACATCATCCGATCAGACATCACTACCGAGCTCCACGAGATTCTGGAACTCTACTGTGAACTCTTGCTCGCTCGCGCTGGCCTATTAGAGGCGCCCACATGCGACCCTGGTCTCGAGGAGGCCGTCAAGAGCATCATCTACGCCGCGCCCAAGACCGAGATCAAGGAGCTTCACCAGGTACGGACGCTGCTCGCAGAGAAGTTTGGCAAGGAGTTTGCGCTGCAGGCTGTGGAAAACTCGGACGGCAAGGTGTCGGAGAAGGTTGTCAAGAAGCTCAGCGTGACACCGCCACGGGAGGAGCTTGTTGTCGGCTACCTAGAGGAGATCGCAAAGGTATATGGCGCGAACTGGCCGAAGAAGAAGGCGGACTTGGGCGACCCGCCTGACGTTATGGACGACGATGAGAACCCGAGCGGTGGACAGGCTCAGAAGAACCTCGAGGCACCTTTAAAGGCGGAAGATAAGGAGGCTGAGGCTCAGGAGGAGCTTAGCAAGGCAACGCCACCAGTGTCATTTGGACCTGCGAGCCCACTACATGTCAACCCACCACCGCCGTCAACCGACAATATCCACCCCAAAGTCACGTTGAACCACCAGCAATTACAACCAAAGCAACCTCCGGCGAGTGGTGGAGTTGTCAAGAAGGCACCTGCAAAGGGGAGTATTGCGGACGGCATTCCTGACGTGGATGAGCTGGCTAAGCGGTTTGCGGCTTTGAAGAAGTAGGATGGTTTTTGGGTGTGATGTGTACTTTGCCAAGCGATTTCTGGCCTTGCAGAGTCAAGATACGAAGTATGGGAACGGATCTTTGTAGCGGTTCTTGTCGGCCTATGTCTTTTCAAGCGACTCAATATCATTTCGAATATTCTCGTACGTGGGCTTCTTGCTTGGTGTTGACTGACCCATTGGATACCGCATTGTTGTTGTTGATATGTGACAAGCTTCTTTTGTTTCTTGGATGACCACAACTTCCCCAACCACCATACACTTAGCCCTTTGAGGGTATATGTATTACTTCCCGTCTTAACATTTCCGTGGCAAGCTGGTAGGATGGAGCAGCGGTCATGGTTGTCGGTCCCTCCCCTCCCGGGTCTGAAGTGCGATGATACGCGCGGGTCACACGTGAATGATTGACCGTTTGAAGGTTCCTGCCTGCCTACGGAAGGTAGCTACAAGCAGATGTGATGGAAGGCTCTGTCAGACACGCTAGAGGGGAAGTCGTCTGGCGATGTTGGCGAGGGTGGCTCCTTCCTGTTCGCTGTCGCCCCGCCTTGAAATACATGGACGTTTGCTCTTTCTTTTCGTCCCAACTTATGTATGTTGCTATTACGCCAGACATCAGCTGCCTGCTCCGGTTGGGTCCTGATACCCTCGAATATTACCGTACCAGCGTACCAACGTATCGACGCCGCCCGGATTGATCGAGTCCTTTACCTCCTTCCACAATTTTAACACCCCGCTGAGATTGTCCACCAACACAAGATATCTCGGGTACAGCGAGCGGATATCACGAAGCTTCCAAGGTAACTTGATCTCATTAGTATCGCTCCTTTCTCACCTGCTCACTTCGTTCTTCCCTTCATGCCCCAGGGGTGGAAAAAGAGCAAGAGCCAGGTTCGCGTCATTCACCCACACGTGGACCCGGGAAGTATCGGATCTTGTTGACGGGCACTCCTCGAGTCCACCATTCCTGCTTCTCTTTCAAATATTCAAATTGATCGAGCCCAGTTACCTACGCGCAGCATTTCTCTCGGATCATGCATTTCTGCATGTTTGGCACTACAATTATGCTATCGACAGAAGTACATCTTCCTTGGTGACTTGAAGATTTGACGCTGACCACCGCCTCTGCCGCAGACTTTCATCGCGGGCATCTCGTCACAAAGTCGCGACGCGGTTGACCGCGTCCAGAAAACTAACCAGTACTCCTGGTTTGGACAGAATACTCGCCATATTTGACCAACAGCCTGGAGCAGGCGTCTGATCGGCTTCGTTTGATACTCGCGACCAAGAGCTGGCATCTCTTCCATTACCCCACCATCAACAATGGGATACAAGGAGGAGATGACAGCCTTTGCCGGGCGGCTGGGTGTTCGGACACTCGGCGAACTCTCCCTAAAGGAGCTTGCTGAGCGTATCGACAGCAAGCCAGAGCCGACCACGCCGAGAACACGGCTCTACGCCTTCATGACATGGCTCAGCGACCATCTCCTGGAAGTCAAAAGCTCTGACGAGGAATCGTTCAGTCGCGAAATTGCAACATGGTGCTTGTTTGTCAATAAAGCCGGATATGACAGTGGCAATGTGGTCGGAACCTTCGAAGAGTGGCTCTTTGAACACCGCCAGGTTGAGCCGTTTAGTGCTAAACGGCTCAATATGGCTGAGCGTGAGGTCAAGAAGTTTTACAGTCTTCCTACAGCGGCGCACCATCGGTTCGTCTCAGCAGGCGAACATTATCAGCCGTCGCCTCCACCGGAGAAGACTTTCCAGCAGTTCCCCTCAGTCAATGAGGCGTCCGAAGCGCAGCCTATCGATGGCTTTGGACAGATCCACCCCGATCGCCTCAAGCTGTCCAGGTACAGTGACAGTAACCCTGAGAAAGGCGAAGTCATCGATCTAGATGACTGGCAACGTCCCGTCGTTGACATCAGCTCCGATGAGGATGCAGATTCCAAAGCAAAGAATAATTTGTCTTTCCTCACCGGAGCAAACCGAATGGTCTTTGGCGACGATGAGACCAACTTGACCACTGACCTTCAGGAAAAGATGAAAAAAAAGAAGAGAAGCAAGACACAGACGATGCAGTCAGGGCCAACTTCAGTTCAAACCAAAAGGAAGAACAAGAACCCCTGCGGTCGTTGCGGTGTCCCTGGTATGTGGAACACGTCTGTGTGAGCTTCAGCCATGCTAATTGTACTTCAATCACAGGACATTACCATACGCAATGCCCAACCAACCTCGATCCGTTGTTTGACAAGAGTCCGCCCAACGAATACAAATGTAACTTTTGTAACAGATATGGTGACCACTATGCGACAGTCTGTAAGAGAAATATGAACCCTACATCGCTCACTCAGCAGAGAAAGCGATATGCCGAACAAAGACGTCAATTCCACCCCAGAAGAAGTCGGAGTAGCTCGCCCCTGAGGGAGCCGAAAGACAAACGCCACTTTGGAAGGGAACGATCACCACACAGGGAGCCCAAAGATAGACATCACTACAATAGGGAGAGTTCGCCCTATAGGGAGTCAGAGACCAAATATCACGTCGATAGGGATAGGTCGAGAGAGAGGAGGAGGTCTCGGGAGAGATACAGAAGAAGGCGTAGCAGATCCAGATCCAGATCTCATTCTCCTCCCCGGCAGGCTCTACGAAGAAGAGATAACCACCGGGCCAACAGGGAGTATCGGTTGAAACACTCGTCTCCCGAACCGAGCTTTCGGGAACCAGAGCTATCTTCTCTGCCTCAGTTTGGGGCCCTAGACTACGATGATGCGTTCGAACATATGCACGATGCGCCCTACCAGCCTTTGATTTCACGACCCGCGGATGTTAAAATTCGAGGGCGAGGAAGTTCTTTCTACTACGATGACAACGCAGAGGGATCTATCCCCGCTTCTGCCTACGGAAATGAGGACCTGATGTCCCGCATGAGGCGCCGGTCACAAGAGCCGGCGCCTCATCAGGACGATCACGTTGATCGTCTAACTTTGGACAAGGGATTCCTTCTCACCGAACTGACAGATTTGATTGCCAGCACCACCGTCTCGCCTCTGGCACGAGCTCCCATGAAGAATAGGCTGCCAGAAGTGTTCAAAAATGACTTGCGGCAGTCTTCTGGATCTTGGGTGATCGAGCCGACCATTAACACTACTTGGGTCAAGCCGGAACCAGTCCCGGATGTTGTACGGGAGCCCTCACCTCCTGTGGAGCTGGGTGTTACGGAGAAGAGACTTGACGGTCATCGTAGTACTCAGTATCATCCGGCCGTCTTGGAGCTGTTCAAGAACCGGAAGAATGTCTGGCTTCACAAGGTTGAAAAGGCCACGCGCGCCCAAGCATCGAGTTTCTTCTGGGACAAAGACCCAGAGGAGGACGATATGGATGTTTCAGCTGATCCTGATGCTGATGCTGGCCTTGAATCGGCCAGGGACACAGCCATGACGGAAGCCGAGCCCGTTGCTCCGGCCGTCACTGATGCCGACATTGTCGCTATAGTCAACAGTGAGGCCGAGCCTCTTGCCATGTTGACTGATACCCCCCAGCGTGCTAATTCCACGCCGGCTATCGATGTCGTGATGGAGAATCATATGACAATGCAGATTCTCTATCGCGATGAAGACGAAGTCAGAACTCATCAACCCGGCGGAGACGGTCGGGTTGGCTTCAAGCCAGCTGTCGATGTTGTTATGGAGGATGCTGAGCCTCTTGACGTCTCTGCGGTTGTTGACGTCCCCGAAGCGGTTGACGTCTCTGCAATTGTCGATAAGATCATCGCTGATATTGAACTCTCTGAAGCGGCAAAAACTGCTTCTGAACCGGTTGAGAACGAGTCTCCTTCTGTTCAGTTCACGACGAGCTCGGAGACCCTCAATGCGCCGAAGACAGTTAATCACGCTTTGGTTGAGAGCGCTGATATCGTCCGCGAAGTCGAGCCTGAGCATGCGACCACAACAGATGACAATGACCATGACAATGGCACGCTCAAAGAGGGTACGCAAGATGTCGGTGACGGTGTCAGCTCTGACACGGTCATCAAAGACGTGATCTACGTCAAAACAGACCCCGAACCCGCCGAGACCGAGCCTTCTCAGCCTGAAGAGCAGGCGGACATCACAGTCCTCGATGGGTCGCAGGCGCAGTAGTGTCTGCACTGGACCCCAGGGCCGTCTGTCGACAAGCTGATAACATGTGCCAGGGGCTGCTCTGGTTCAGGGCGTCAAATGCCTCTGGGGGTCTCGATTTTGAATTCGATACAGACTTTGAGAGAGCGAACAGTTATTTCGAATTGCACATCCCCTTCATTGCATATCCAGCTCAACGGACGTCTATCCATGGCCGAGTTTAGTTTCATATTAACATCACTCTGCAATTTCTTTGGAGGCTTGGACAGCCAGATACCAGATCTTGGAACCCAGGGCGTTCGGTGGCGAGCAGCACACAGCAGTGTCAAGGCTTGCCATTAACGCCCGCTTCACTGCTGAGCTGCAGAGATGGTTATCTGCCACCGACGAAGCCTTGATGCTCTGGAAGCCAACACTTGAAGCTTTTGGGGCAGACAAGTGGGGGAACACCAATGTCTCTTAAAGCAATGCGTTTCGGATCTCGTAGAACGGGTCCTTTGTAAGATTAGTTAGTCGATTACTCTATAAAATAAGCCCGAAAGCCCTCTATGTATGGGGCTGTCGGTGCGGCAAATAGGTAGCTTGCTTGCTCAGTGCTTGCTGAAAATGAGACAAGACCGTTGCGTTCCCCTTGGTTCCTTTCCTGCCCCTTGTCTGTGATATGGGTATATGTTACCACCGCTTTGTGTCGTTCTCTCTTCACTCGATGCTTCGATTGTCGGTGACCGTCTCTCGCTGGAGGTATCTCTAGCAAAGGTTGACGTCTATTGGGCCCCAAACCCTCCCGTCCAAGGTCCTTGGTCTTTCGGTGCCCTGTCAACTCAGCCCCTGTGCTCAAGAGGTTGAAGGGTCTAGGTCGCTCAAGCGACACGGCACAACGCCGAACCTCGTTACCACACCCGCATGCTCGGGCGGAATTCTGAGATGCGTCCGAGCGGAAGCCAGTATTAGTCCTCGTCCATCCCAAGGCCCTTGCTGATATTATCGCGTATCGGTCGGTCGATCGGTCAGTCGGCCCGTCAATCAGCCGGTCACCCTTAACCCGCTTCATCCCCGCCCCTTGCTTCATCAACCCCCTATCCCTCACCCCTTCTTTCCCTTCCAACACCTCATTCCCATCATCACTCCAACTTATCCAAATGCTCCAACCTCGTCAGCACAACCTGCTTACTCGTCTCCTCAATCTCGCCCGCCAAAAACACCTCGTCCAGGATCGCGTACACCTTGTAAAAGTTGAACACCAAGTCCAGCTCGCACACGTTGCCGAAAAACGAGTCGAGCACTTCGACAAAGAAATGGATGGCCTCCAAATAGGCTAGCTCGTTGTCGTTCGTGTCGACGCAGGCGCAGAAGAACAGGCCCGCGTATCGTCGGTACACGACCTTGTGGTTGCGGAACTCGACGAAGTTGGATTGGTATTTTTGGTCGCGGGGGGCTACTAGGCGGTGGATCTGGAGGGATGGGGAGAGGGGGGGTTAGAGAGGGGGATGATAGGGGGGGGATGGGGGGCGGACGTACCTCGCCTTTGAGCTTGATCTTCTCTTCGTCGCTGTAGGGGACGTACCACTTTGCTAGACGGGTTTTACCCCTTTGTCGCCAGGTGTTAGTTAGTCAGGAACTATGCATGAGAAAGATGTTGGTTGGCGCATTGCTATTCGACATGCGACTCGCGATGCGCCTGTATGTAGAAGGGTAGATATGTAGAAGCGTGAGTAAGGCGACGGACGGGTTGGGAGATCGTACGTACTGTCGGTTCTGGATGAGAATGAATGACAACATGGCTGCGGACTATACTTTTGCGACAACAGGCGGCCGTCTGGAAGTTCGAAAGTTGAAAACAATAAACAGAAACTGAAAAGAGAAGCGAACCGAACCGCGAGATCCGCCGTTGCTTTGTTGAACTGCCCGGCACTAGAACCGCGTGGTATTGGATTATTCACATGCGACACATGCGATGGTATCGATTATCGTACAAAGGATCGACGGGAAGGGAAAGATGGTGTTTTAAGTGATTAGATACGGATTATGGAATTGTCAGCGGTCGGTCGGTGATGTCGAAGTCCCGTCGTCCCTCTAGGAATGAGCCGCGTGCGAGCCGCCCAGGGGTGAGTGGGGCCCGAGCTTTCCTTCGAACGTCCATCGAGGTGCTCGTTCACACACACAGCGGCAGGCGGAAGGGAGGGACCCCTGTTTTCTACATATGCGGTCCGATAGGGGGGACTTCTTGGCGCCTAGGAAGCTTATCGATAGCAGCTGGCTCCGCGTCTTCACGTGTCGCAGTGCGACTGGAGTTGACATTTTGGTGGTTGGTTTCAGTTGGAGTCCAATGTTTGATCGATCGAAGGGAGTGGGAAGTTCGGGAGTCGGGACCACTGGGGGACCACTGAAGTGTGAGTCTTGGCAATATTGGCAAGGTCCCATTAGCCACTGGGGTGGCGCCCCATTCTTTGGGCCGAATGCAGTGCACATGGCAAGCTGAAGCCGAGGACTACCGTCTGGGGGACCCATTTTCAACTTTCTTAATTCCCAACCTCCATCACGTCCATTGACTTGGACGCGAACAACAACTGCTGCTGCCCGGTGCATGCCGTTCGTTTCATTGCATTAGCTCTTGTTTCTGTATACATCTTGTATCCCTTTACGAGTCCTACGACCACGACCTCCACGACGAAAGATCCTCAAATCTTGGATGCGACCTGCGGGCTGTCACTCCCCTCCCGACCCGGCGAGGGCTCACCCCATAAGTCAAAATGACCGAGAATAGGCGTGTGGCCAAGGACATTATGTCCGGTCTGCTACTAGCTGCAACCGTATGGACTCTGTTACCCATGATTCTATGCGCCCAAGATGACCTGCTGACACTCTGCTTCCAAGACAATATCCGTATACTTCATCTTTCGTGACTACGTCGCTCCCCACGTCGCAAAGCTCATCGATCCCGACCGTGCCAAGCACGACCAAAACCTTCTAAAAGCTCAACAGAACCTGGCCAGGGTAAAAAAGTCGCGAGACGAATCGAAGATTGCCAGCGACGAGTTCGCCGACGATGAGGTCGCCGAAGATTCGCCCTCCGCCGTGCGGGTCGAGGACCTCGTCCTCAACGAGTACGAGAGCCAGGTAGCCCTGGAGGTAGTTGCGCCCCAAGACATCCCGGTTGGCTTCGACGATATTGGCGGTCTGGACGAGATTATCGAGGAAGTCAAGGAAGCTATTATCTACCCACTCACGATGCCGCAACTCTATTCGCATGGCGGCACACTACTGTCCGCGCCGTCGGGCGTGCTTCTCTACGGCCCTCCCGGTTGCGGAAAGACCATGTTGGCCAAGGCTGTAGCGCACGAGAGCGGCGCCTCGTTTATCAACCTGCATATCTCGACTCTTACGGAAAAGTGGTACGGCGACTCCAACAAGCTTGTTCGCGCAGTGTTCTCGCTTGCGCTCAAGTTGCAGCCGGCCATCATCTTCATTGACGAGATCGATGCCGTTTTGGGAACAAGGAGAAGCGGAGAGCATGAGGCTAGCGGCATGGTCAAAGCCGAGTAGGTTGACCCTTTTACTTTATAAAGTGCGCCATGTGTAACCTTGGGCTTCCCGGAGCTAACCTTAAAATCACATCACAGGTTCATGACTCTCTGGGACGGTCTTACATCTACCAACTCGCTCGGTCAGCCCGCTAGGATCATGGTTCTCGGCGCAACCAACCGCATCAACGACATCGACGACGCCATTCTCCGCAGAATGCCCAAGAAGTTCCCCGTCCCGCTCCCGGGCAAGGACCAGCGCCGGCGCATCCTTGAGCTCGTCCTCGCCGAAACAAAGCGCGACCCCGAATTCGATCTGGAATACATTGCTCTGGTAACGGAAGGCATGTCTGGAAGCGAACTCAAAGAGGCCTGCCGTGATGCGGCCATGGTTCCCATGAGGGAGGCTATCCGGAACCAGAAGGCCGCCGGAAAGTCGATAAAGAAGCTGGATCCCAGCACGGTGCGTGGCCTGCGCACAGGGGATTTCTTTGGTCGCAAGGGAGGCGCGCCCAGTCTGGCGGCGGACAGCCGTCCCAGCTCCGTCAGGCCAGAGGCGGCGATGAGCGCGAGGGAGATTTATGAAGTCGATACTGAGACCGAGGACATTTTGTCTTAATGTGTGGTTGTGGGCGTTACCCCTGAGAAGTGGGATTGCAAATGAAACAAAGTGCCAGCCAAGCAGGCAGCATTCGTGTAGGATCAAAGGACAGCGAGGAAGCTTTGAAAAGTATCATGAGCGTCATATGATTATTTCAAAAGACTTGTTAAGGGCATTTGTTATGACCAGGTAGAGGAATTGGAACAGTACACACTACAAGACAGGAGGCGGAGGCGCAGTTCATTGAACCGGATAGAACTCTCAACTTTGACTGGTAGCCTTGCTTGATATCTCGGGCTTATCTTGGTTTCTGGAAGTCTCATGGAACATTCAAATCGGTCCTACCCGCGTGTGACCCAGATACCAATATCCGAGTCCGACCTCTCCAGGCAGAATCGCGATTCGAAACTGTAAAAGTTCACCGAGGAAGTCCTGTCCGAAGCCCTTTCGAGTCCTATCTATACTCGTCGGTTAGGTGCACGCACTGGCCACAGCCATGTGGGGCCACCCTTTGGGGGCCCGCTTACAGCCAGCCAACCGACTCTCATCGTCCCTTTGAGAGTCGGGATTTTTACATGTAACGTGCAAGGCCTGTAACGGTGTAGAATTTACATTCAATAATAACATTATCAATCTTTATTGTATCATACTATAAATAATTTATTTTACTCATTTCATTATACTCTATCTTTTGTATATATTTTTAATATACTTATATTTAACCCTAACATTATATCCTATATAGAAAAGGGCGCCCAGCATTTCATTACAATCAGACTGCAACTATAACCCGATCTACCACCTTACGATCTAAAGCCAATACCAAAGCCAAAAACAAAGGGGGGGTCACATATAAAAGTACAAAGGAGCTATTTAACGTTAGTAAAACTATCGTTAAAAAATATATAATACTTACTAAAGAAGGTAAGATCCTACCGATTAATATAAAAGCCTATCAACTACTAACCCTAACTATAAACGAAGATAAGGCTTTTAATATTGTAATCTAAATTGCTAACTGTAGCTACTTCCCTTTAAATAATACCTCCTTTGTTAAGTTAGCTAACTAACTACGAACTCAACAGCTATACCCCCCCTTTATTAACTTTTATAGAGGGTAGCCTATAGAATAGTATAAAAGGCATCTAGAATTCGAATTTAAAGCAGCTAACTTTAAAGACGTAAAAATGATGAATATTAAAACTCAACTAGATTCCCTTAAAGACTATTTTAAAGAGGTGAAAGTTACTTATAATAGTTCCAACATTGAAGAGGAGAATGTTTAGAATATAAATAAGTCCCCGTTTCAAATAGGAGAAATTAAGAAAATTATAAAGGTATAAAAACTTCTTTATCAATATTACATCCTATATTAATTTATATAGTAATAAATATTATTTATAAAGAATTGGGTATATATAAGAAGGATTATATTCAACCCTAATAATGAAGAAAATCTAATTACCATCGATACTATATCGGCCACAGCTAAAAGTATCCTTTTATTTTGAATATTTAAAGTACAAATTATAATAAGGCTCCAGCCTTATTATCTATAATTAATTTTAATTTCACTCAATTAACTACGTTTATACTAATTTATTTACAAATATAAAGGAACGTACAAACTAATTACGAAATTAATTTAAACGTAATTATTACTAATATATTAATTAATTATAATAATATTTATTGTATATTATAATAGATTAGGCACTTTAATAAGCACTCCTTTAAATTATCTCCCTCTTTTAATAGCCATACTATCGAGGAATAGTTTAATCTATTACCTAATTGCCTACTCCCCTTCGAAAGACCAAAGCCGTCTAAAGGTAATAAAATAACTATTAATTTCATATTAATTACTAAACCGAAGGTATATTAAATCCTTTTGATAAATAAATTTAAGGCCTATAAAGACTTATACATTCTATAATATTATAAACCCTTCGATATTATACTTTATACTCTACCCTCATATATTAACTATATACTTTAATTATTTAATATAAAGGTATATTAAGTAATTAAGAAGGATTATTAAAAGGCTCTAGCAAATAAAATTATTAACGGGGCTAATAATATTAACCGTATAGTCTTTCTAAATAATTAGAAGAAAGTTAAAGAAGCGGGCTTTATTCGAAGTAATATCTATAAAGGATAAGAGAAGAATAATCTTTAGTCCTTAAACCAAATATATTAATTATAATTATAATAAGATTATGTAAGTACAAGGCTAATTAACTTATTAAACGTTCCCCTCAATAAATTATATAAATTTATTAAAGTATAATAAAAACCTTTATTCCGTAACTGATTTAAAGTTATAACTCTTGGTAAAATACTATGTACGTTAAAATTACTAACGATTTAACAACGTATTAATAAATATAATTCGCATATTAAAAAAGTCTATAATGAAGTTAAAATTGCCTTCAAAGTATCTATTAATACCTAAAAGCTAATATTTAATTAGTAAAAATACTATAAGGGCTATATTAAAATAGAAACCCAAAAGTAAAACCCTTGTAAATATATAATTATTAATAATAAAGCCTATACAAAGGAAATTCTTAATACTGAAATTATAATAAAAAGGGTAATGAATATAAAGGAGGGATGAAAAGAAATATAATAAACAAACTTTACCTTTATTAAAAAAGTCGCTTTCGAAAAGAACCCTAATTTTAAATAATAGCTACCACGCAAATTTAAAGTTAAGAAGAAGGCTGAACCTAATTTAATTAATAAAGTTAATATTCCTAATAATAATGGCCTTATCTGTATTATTAAAGACGATTTAAAATATAATGTAATATTAAAATTTAAAGAGGGGTAGAATAAAATTATTAATAATACCCGTCGTACTTTTCTAATTAAATAATAGGGCTTTAATTATTTATATTATATATTGGAAATATAATAATAGAAGGCTTTCCAACCTAAATAGGACTTTAACGCTTTCTTAACTAATATTAAAAATAAAGAGGATAAACTTTATAAAATTATAAGGAAGGCTACTGTTAGTCTAAATATATATATATATAATAATTATAGACTTATAACGGATTTACGGGTCTTTTATACAATATAGTATAATATAATATATTTTATATTTTTATATATAAATATGAAATATATAACCGGAGTAAAATTCCGGTCCGGAGAAAACCTCCGGCCAACAACAGGGATCAACCCTGGATAAAATCCAGAAGAAAATTCCAGAGTCTGAACTTCGAAGCTGAATTCCGGCCTCGACGTCAGTCGTACGAAGACATACGTAACACTATTGGAATGATCAGAAAATGATGATTCCAAAGGTACAAACGGTTTTGTCACTCGATAACTCATTGATCCAAAAAGTCTATTTGAATAGGGCTTCCCTTGAGGAAAAGGAAACTAATGTAGATTTTTTCACTCATCGATATCTCGACCAATCTACCACCTTCCCCACATTCTACATACTATTCTACTCTACTTTAAACGCTCCATACAGCCGTATTGACCGTACCTTCATACTATATCTACTCGTCGATCGATACCTACTAATAGCTACCCTCCCTAATTATAATAAAGACTTTGTACTTTTTAAAATATATAATAAGAAATGAGTTAAAAAGGTTCGTAAAGGAAGTACTTCGTCAGTTAAATTTATATTAAGTAATAAAAGTATAAATATTCTTAGCGAACTCCCTATTATATACCATTATTTAATAGGGGAAAAGGCACGAATATAAGTACGAGTATTAGTTAGGCCATTGTTTAGACTGTTTACATTAATACTATACCTTCGAAAGAGGTTTAAGAAGGGGAAGGAGAAGGCTATTGATACAAATTCTAACGAGGAGGAGTAAGTTACTATAATAACTATAATAATAATAAGCAGGAAGTTAAAAGTCTCTACCAACCATATAAAGGTAATAATTACTATAAACGACGACTTCAGCGATAATAAAGGCAATGGGAATTTATAAGGGAAGGAAAAGAAGGAGTTGGACATTGTATTATAAAGGTTTAGCATACGGGCTATAAGACCTTTACAATACTATAACAATATATTACAATATTTTAAAAATAATTCACTTATATTGTTAAATGCGCGCAATTGAGGCGAATAATCCGAATCCTTTACTATTTTTTTTGCTTGTATTTTAGTAGAGAAACGGATTGTTGAAGATTCTGACCATTACAGGCCTTGCACGTTACATATAAAAATCCCGACTCTCAAAGGGACGATGAGAGTCGGTTGGCTAGCTGTAAGCAAGACCCCCAGAGGGTGGACTCCATACCTAACCGACGAGTACAGTCTCGTTTCACTCAAAATGTTGTTATGCGGTAGAGAAAACAGGGCGTTCAAGCCATTCAAGGCTGTGCAGACGGTGAGGGTTGCCCGGCCTGGCTCTTGATTTGCCTGTTGCTTGTCTGTCTGAGGCTTTGAGGCTTCAACGTGACGACTGCCTGATCCTTCAACTGTCTCCTGAAACAAAATCAAGGCTGCAATTTCAATAAATCTCTTCGGTCAACCAAAACAAAACAGCACTTCCCCTGACCATCAGAGAAACAAAACATGCCGAAGCACACAAAACTCCGTTTCGGTCTCCCGTTCTGTGTTGAATGTCGGGGCGGCTGGCTGGGGGCCAAGCACGTCATCCTCAAAGCCCCACAACAGCGAACCAAAATGGACCGGGGTCCAGCAGTGAGACCGATAGCCGGGTACCTCATGGGGCAGCGAGACGTGGCGAGCGGGCGGGGTACCTTGCCATCGTGGATCCCCGGGTTTGGGCTGAAGGTGGAGCCACACGCAACGCCGATGGTCGGACAAGACGGCAGACACAACGCCGTGTCGCAAAGGATGGCGAATTTGGCTGGAGAGATATTATCCGGTAGTTATTTGGGATACCATGGCGAGAAATGAGTGATGTTTTGAAGTCGTGGTTGATATAACCTCTGATGCTCTGAATGTTCTCATCTAATGTGGATATCACGACGTAGCTGTATAAGTGGTCGATAATGTTCAGATGATTCAACTCGAGGAACTGCTGGCACAATTCGTTTGGATGCCGGATGAAAGAAACAAAAAGACAATTGGATGGACGGCTACAGTTGCTGCAAGGAACCACAATTGTAGTGTAGCTCTGTCCGCGGCACCAATGTACCGAACGCTGGACGGCAAGAGCAACAGAGGGTGACAAGACCCCACCACCCCGAATGCCGTCCCCAGTTCATCCACCTGGACATCCAGTCCCGTCCACGCGAGTTGGCGACCAGTCATCGACACATCCTCCATCCACAATCCACACACTCGTCCACACCGGGCACAAATCTTGGGGTACCAGGGGGACAATCTGGAACTTTAACTCGTCCAACCGGAGAGTCACTGGCACGACATCGCCCCGAATCCACCGTTGCCCGTCTCGATCGGTTTCGTCTTATAACTGACCCTGATTTCGCCATTTTCTTTCTCTTCTTCTCTCTTGCATGTTTATACTCGACCATCAATAATACACTATTGTTTGAAATACCCGACTCAACTCGGATTTGTATGACCCGTCCTCCCAAAAGACTTAACGTCCAGCTACCAACCTCAATTGCCCCTCCATCCAGGCGCCCAGGTCCACGTACCACCACCAGCATCTCCAGATCCACAACAAACCTCCGTTCTTCGCTCCCGCCGCATATCGCCTAGACCTGCCCATTCAAAGACCGACCGCTTTGACTCGTCACACCATCGGCCTCTATCCGTTCCATCCATACTACCGGTACGCCAGCAGAAACAGCAGAAAACACCAGCACCGAGAAGCTATCCAGAAGCGGTAACAGCTTCTACAACCTTTTCACCACCAAACCACATCTTCACAACGACAACAATGTCGACTCCCAACAGTGACAGCCCGGCCGCGCAAGCCGCGAAGAAGGTCTTCTCTCGTCTAGATCTTGACGGCCACCACCTCCCGCCATCACCCGCACCCTCGAGCCCTCACAATGGCCGAAGATATGCGCTGGCCACCGAGCTCGTCTACACCGAGACCAAGGACCAGTATGGTGCCTCGAGCATTCCCATCTACCAGTCCGCCACCTTCAAGCAGTCGTCCTCCAACGGCGGCAGCGAGTACGACTACACCCGCTCCGGCAACCCGACCCGCACCCATCTCGAGCGCCACTTGGCCAAGATCATGAACGCGAACCGCTGCTTGACCGTCAGCTCCGGCATGGGCGCTCTCGACGTCATCACCCGCCTGCTGAAGCCCGGCGACGAGGTCATCACCGGCGACGACCTGTACGGCGGCACCAACCGCCTCCTGACCTACCTCAAGAACAACCAGGGTGTGATCGTCCACCACGTCGACACCACCAACGTCGACTCTGTGCGCAACATCATCACCCCCAAGACCGCCATGGTCCTGCTCGAGACCCCCACGAACCCTCTCATCAAGATCTGCGATATCCCCACAATCGCGCGCATCACGCACGAGGCCAACGAGAAGGCCGTGGTCGTCGTCGACAACACCATGCTCTCGCCCATGCTGTTCAACCCGCTCGACGTGGGCGCCGACATCGTCTACGAGTCCGGCACCAAGTACCTGTCGGGCCACCACGACATCATGGCGGGTGTCATCGCCGTCAACGACACGGAGCTGGGTGACAAGTTGTACTTCACCATCAACGCCACCGGCTGCGGTCTATCGCCCAACGACTCATTCCTGCTTATGCGCGGCGTCAAGACCCTTGCCATCCGTATGGAGAAGCAGCAGGCCAACGCTCAGCGCATCGCCGAATTCCTCGAGTCACACGGCTTCAAGGTGCGCTATCCCGGTCTCAAGTCGCACCCGCAGTACGATCTGCACTGGTCGATGGCCCGCGGCGCTGGCGCCGTGCTCTCGTTCGAGACGGGCGACGTGGCGCTGAGCGAGCGCATCGTCGAGGCTGCCAGGCTTTGGGGTATTTCTGTCAGCTTCGGCTGTGTCAACTCGCTCATCAGCATGCCCTGCCGCATGAGCCATGCCTCCATTGATGCCAAGACGCGCGCCGAAAGGCAGATGCCCGAGGATATCATTCGGTTGTGCGTGGGCATTGAGGATGCCGACGATTTGATTGATGATTTGTCGCGTGCTGTAAGTTATTTACCTGTCCTTCGAGTCGTTTCATTTGGGACTTGACACTAACTGCTTTCTTCTCTAGCTCGTCCAAGCCGGTGCCGTTACTCTCACGATAGATGGCTTCCACGCTAACACCGCGGAAGGCGCTGCTGCTGCTGCTGCTGCTGGGTCAGAGGCGACCGAGACCACCACCACTGCTGCTCCTTCTGCTTAAAGAGAGAGAGAAAAGAAACAGAAAGAGAATGTTTTATACCACTTTTGTTGTTGTTACTTCTTTCGCGTGTCATGAGTGTTTCTTAGACAGCAAATATGAGACGAAGAAAGGAAGGAAAGATCTATGAGTTACCACTGTATTTGTATGGGGAACGGGATGCCAAGTGTGTTACATTTTTATACCAGATGAAAGGGGATACGGGACGGTTTTCACATGGGTGGAATTGACGGGATGGATGGTTGGATCGGATTGATGGGTGTCACAGAATCGGAGTCGGGTTGAGATGACATGCAACGATGAGATGACAGAAAGATAGGACGGGGACAGCCGTCATCGGAAGATGATATGGAAGAGAAGAAGAAGTAAAGATCAAGAAAATCATCACCTTGAGCCCAAAATCACCGGTGATAAACGTGTTTATGCTCCCTGGTTTTTTGTTTTCCGCCATCCCAGGGAGATGGAGGCCATAGACAGACCTTGCTCAGGCTTGGTTGTTAAACATGAACAAAAGAAAAGGACAGAAACGTCCCAACTTTACCAACAGTCCAGAAGCTTGAAACAGACATTCGCACTGCGACACATTCGTGAATTCATTGCTCGGACAATGTGAACCGAGAGAAATGTTATTATGGAAGAGAGAGAGCGAGAAAGAAATTGGAAAGGAAAGATCATCCAACGAATTCAAAAGTCGCCCAACATCCAAGAACCCGACACTCTACCAACACTTTTCTATAATTCCGCACGCACTTCACAACAGTTCGACGGCAGCAAACTTAAAACCACACCGAATCCGTTACAAGAATCGCAAGGAAGAAGTAGTACAAACCACCCACCCATGTTGTAAGTTTTTCAAAGTGCATGAGGCTGAGGTGACGGTCAAAAAGTAAACAGGCGAAAAGGGGTGGCTGGTTGCTGGTGAGCCGAACCGGAACCGAACGGAAAGCCAGAGGGTTGGGATGGGAGAACTGATGGATGGGGTCGGATGGATTTTAAACCGAGATTGAGGGAGGACGAAATATGGGAGATCAGGTCCTTGTATGGAAGATCAGGTCCTTGTATGAACGAGCAGGCCCTTGTGCGAGGGAGTGGCTCTTAGACTCTCGTAGATGTAGACGCAGTAACGCGACTTCAAGTATGCATGGATGGGATTTATTCAGAATGACCAAAGGGGCAAAGGGACTTGGTAGTAGTCCAGAGACCAGCTCGGCTGGCTGGGCATAACCGGGGTGGTGAGATATGGACACTCCCTCGATAAGGAGTGGAGTAGAATCCTTTGGCTCTGTTTAAACCTAGAGGATGTAGGGAAAAGATCGAGGATTAAACTCATCCACACATCGACAACGACCGACTTTGTGTTGAACTTTGGTTGGGAGACAAGGAGTCAAGGTAAGGCTGTAAGGAGTTAATACGTAATGGACACGATGAACATGAGAAGGCGTAAGCAGGAGTGAGGAAAGGGGATAAATAAATAGATGAGGGAAAAATGTTTCATTACAACAACGCTACCCCAGAAAGAACCAACGAAAGAAACAAAACATCATAACCGCCCGGGGGTATCAGTCAGACAAGGAAACTTCAGTCCAGTGCTCATACACTCCGAAGTCCGAAATCCTCTCTCGGCCCGGTCAGCCCATCTCAGCTTCGCCTCCCTTCCCGAGAAAAGCCTTCGGGATGTCACACATAACTCGCACCGTTGTTGTACACATACGAAGTTTGTTGCCACCGCCATGCTTCTCGTGCCTGCCATCCCATGCCTGCCATGCCTGCCACGCCTGCCCCGTCATGGCACAGGCAAGCCAGCCATGGCAGCTCAGGGTTATGGCGGCAAGAGAGTAAATAGGAAAAAAAAAAGAGGAAAATCCACCAGATAGAGAAAGAGTTTCGTGCCCTCGTACGCCCTTCGTTCCACAAGCAACGCGATTGAACGCCCCTTGACCGCCTTGACAGCCTTTGTCCCCTCCTCCACTCCTCGCTTTATCCGTAACGTCCTCCACTAAAATTTGCCGGATTCCTCCCCGCAATCTGCTGCAGTGAATGTCCGAGACCGTTGCTTGGTGATACCTGATGTGCGTGCTGCTGCTTCCTGTGTTTGCGTCAAATCGCCGGTCCAGGCAGCAAGGAGAATGCCAGGGGGCGATAGAAATCCAGCAGGAGCCCCGATCTTGACACGAGGGCGAAGACTCGAGAATCCACCCTTTATCGTTTACCCTTTCCCTTACCCCTACCCTCTTGTTAGCCGCCCGTAACACTCGAGTCGTTTGTCCAGCCCTATCTGTCAATCAGAGCACCAGCGAGTTTCCGAATTCTCCTCTCCTTCCCTGTCTTCTCTTCTGCTCTCCCTTCCTGTTCCTGTTCCCGTTCTCTGAAGGTCAAAACCACTCTGGATGCGTGGTACTTTGTGTATCCATCCCCTGGTGAGCTGAAAAACAAGCGAGGGAATCAGTAAACAGAAACAAACAACAATACTGCAAGAAAGCCGTGATAAAGGTCAGTAAGATCAGGGCAGTCAATGGGAGCCAAAAGTTCGAGGGGCTGCGCGACAGGTAAGTGTCAGTTGCAGTGAGGTAACTTACCTGACAAATCCCCCTACCCAATCAACCTTCCGCCCGTCATCCCATCTGGCCTCTATGTGCTACCACCACCACCACCACCACCGCTACCCTTGGCCTGCCCAATAAGCGTCTCGGTGATAGGTAAATTGCTCCGATTTCGCTCCTCCTGCCAGCGAACCAGCATGGGGTTAACAGTGGTGCTTGTGTCAGGGGTGGTGCTGTGATTGTGCTGTCTGTTGTTATGACTGACGGGTGACGACTTAGTCCGGTCCTGCTGCTGTTGGGAGAAGGAGCTATATAGAAAAATGGTGGTGAGGCCTTGAACAACACACTCATACTTGTCCCTTTCCATTTCCATCTCTCTCCCTACTACAGAAAGCATCCACACAGACATCACCCCAACCCTCCTCCCGTTTCACCTTGCAAAAGCAGAGGATGTGGTGGCACCAACCCTTGACGGTCAGCATCAGTAGCTGGTTGACACGTTTCTCTCACGCTGTGAGGCATGGTGCTCTTGGTAGAAGCCTGAATTCCTGTGGGAGAGTGGGCGAATGGTTGTGTGGCTTGAGTGGCGGTGGTCGAGACCAGGTGGCTGATCAGCGTGGTAGTTGCTATGAAGATCCCAGTGCTGCAGATGGCAGGAGGATGGCTCGGGTTTCTCGGACGTTGTCTATCCGTTGTGATATACGCTGGTTGGTGAACTTAATAACGAGATCATGAGCGGTGGGTTTGTAATCGGGTTCTTGAATAAAGGGAGGAATGTGATGATGAAGCTGTTCCTGTTGAGAGCCAGCTTCTGACTTTCCACTCTGATGGTGGGCTTTTCCGGCTTTTATAGCAGAAACAACACAGACCTCGCAGGAACCAAGACTCTTCAGCATGTTGAAATCGTGAAGTCTCATCATTGCTATGATGATCCCCTGAATGGCCAGTAGCGGCTATCAGTGAGCATCAATCAACAGGCTTGGGGCTGGTGGGTGATGAGCAATGCAGACATAACGCCCAATTCGGATCCAAACTTTACCGGTAATCTAGCATGCATGTATTCTTCGTACCTATGGTCACGCGGTCAGTCATCATAGACAGGAAGACGAAGGAGATGTGGGAGATTATGATCAGGACCAAGGCCTATCGAAGAAAGTCCCCACCACACTCGGTCAAGGTACATCTCGGCTCGATACACCTCGATGTCAAGGAAGCTTGTCCATGAGCCCCAGACCTGGCCGAATATGCAGATTGACCATTGGCCGGGGTTATGCTGGAACCTTGGCGATAAGGAGCACTCTTCGTAGCAGAGTACTACCTCCTTCGAGTCCCTCTGCCAGGCTGTAGACGGTTGACCTCGCAAGTAGTTGTCGTCCCTCTATCTACTGTGTTTTGGTGTGGGTACGCGACAGTAAGTGGTTAGCCGTCACATATAGCTTCAAGACGAGAAGACCAGAGAATGAAGCGTTGAAGAAGACCACCTACCTGCGGGTTTTGCAGTGTGAAGTATCAGGGACAGATTCTCATCACTCTATTCTCTTCTTTACATCACCCCACGCTTCCCCTGCAGGCTCATCGTTAGATACCACATGTGTGACCCAGGAAGCTGGAAATTTGTGGGTGAATCCTACATCGCCGTCTTGGTGCTGCTTTGAGCAACGCTGTGCTCTACAGGCAACATGGAAGGTACCGGTTCCCTCTGCAAATCGAGGCCTTAAAGAAACGGGTCTGTTGTATCCTTGTAGGTCGATGCTTCCCCAGGCAGGGTATCCTTCTTTCACCTAGAGAACTTCGTGTCATGCCCGGGCGCTCCGTGCCTCTAGTATCTCCGGTGTCCGTGTTTCCGGCACCCTCGCAAAGCCTGTATCTTTCGCTATCCCTCTGTCCTTCTTCGCCTCTACTTGCATCAAACCCGTGTGACACCACTTCGTTGCATCAGGGTTATGGGTTTGCTTTGAACTTGTCAACGCCATGCAAGACTGGAGCGCAGAATGAAGGACATTTGCGTTGAGGGTAACGGCATGGATACCGGGGCAAGATAGTGGACGTCAATTCGTCACTTCGGTAGATGTTCGTTGTCGGATGTAGAAAGCTCATTTCAACGTTGTGCTATGCCCTTCCTTAGATGCCCTCATTGGAGTCCAAATCTAGCCCGCTCGATCCAGTCTCAGGAGCATTGCGTGATGGAATTGATTATGCCAGCAAGATGAAATGAAGTCGGTCAAGTATTGCCGTACAAACAGCGTGTACGATCCTGACCGGTCTGCAGGCTTTGTTCGAGTTTTCTTGTATTCTGTTTGGTTGTTGGCGTGAGATGGGCTGGTTGAACTCAATCTGTTTGTGTGTTTGTTGTCGTACAGGAGAGCTACAAATCGAAGTTCGAATGCATACACATACCAAAAGCTGATCGCTCTTACGGTGCTGACCTGCAGACAGACAAGAGGGTTGGATAGCTCCCTTGTTCCCTCTTGACCATCGAACCCGAGACGATAAAATCGAACACCGTAGGCGAGGCCTCTTGATGGCAAAGGAGCGAAGACTTGTCTGAAGCGATGGGGGCTTGATCTCAGTAGGAAAGATCTATAACTGACGTGGTAGCTGTTAGCATCGCCATCAGCAGCATCGCCATGATGGGATGAGAGCTTCTGTATGTTTGCTTACTTACAAAATGTGGCGTCTGTGAGTACCATGGTACAGTAACCGATGTGCACAGTTAATTCCCACGCATTAGTACTTTCTTCCCGGACCTAGCCTCCAATCTACGATGTAGCTGCGGTAAACGGTATCGTCCGGTGCTAGCCAACAGACACCCGGGATCCTGGATAGACGACTGAAGATACTGGGTTGATCCGACGACAAAGTCAATTCTCGAATGCATGAGGGATGAGGCTCCTGATTGGATTCATGGCAACTGAATTTGTTCTCCCGAAGGATTTTGTCTTGCGTGGAGGGATGGTGAATAGAAAATCATTGCGTTGAGTGCTGGATTCAATGAAAAAATACGTACCCATGGATGAAATGTTATCATGTCCATCTGCACCAAAAGTCGCGGTTTGGCTAGACTAACGGGGGCGGTGGTGAAGTGCCTTCCTCGTATGGCCAATACGGTCGGAAAGGTACATATTGCTTCGACGCTGGCCAGTAACAGGTCATAATTTCGTTTGCGAGCTCCGAGCAAAGTACCGTGTCGACAATGCGTCAACGCTGTGGGAATTGATATAACCTTGGCGAATAGTATCAGATTCTAGGGTGGCATTCTGGCCAGATGTGGGCTAGATGCCAGAGTCCCAACCACCTGATTTAACAGGTCTTGGCAAATATGAGTTACCCCCAGAACCCCCTATACTAGAGCACTCAAGTCAAACACATAGAATCAATCAATCACCAGCAAATCTAACAATTAACAATCTAATATATAACCTATTAATATAATAATTAGTACGTTTAAATAATAAATAATAACCAAATTATAATATCCCTTTTAAAGCCTACCGAAACGACAAAAAAACATTATTTACTTTAAAGATAGCAATAATTAATTACGACGGAAGCTTATACTTTAGTTAAAGTATATCCTTAATACCTTCAAGAATTAGCTGTAAAGAAAGATTAAGAAACCTTCCGTACCGAAATAGCCTTATCCTAATTACTACCCTTTAATTAAGGAAGTAAAAACCTGTATTAATAATATAGAGGCGGAATTTATACATTTTAACGGCGGTATTAATACCTAATTTATTATTTACGAAAACAGGATTAATTATAAAAAACCTATTAAATATTACAACTGAAACAAAATTATAATCGATACCTTTACTATCGAGGACGACCTTATTAATAAATAATTCAATAAATTAGAGGTTAGCCTCTATCCTAATAATAAAAAAGATTAGAAAGAGTTCGTAGCTAGTAATAAGGCCGTACGTATTTAGATAAAATTATTAATTAATTATAAATTATAGGATAGAATTATAAGGGAAGAATACAATACTGACGAATAATATCGAAATTTAAACAAATAATAAATTATAAAGCGGTCGACAACTAAATTAAAATAAAGAAAATATATTATAAAACTGTCGCTATCCTTACGAAAGAACCTAAGAACTAAATTAATTAACTATAGACCTAATCTATTATTATAAATAATGGCCAAAACAAAGGAATCAGAGAAATTTTCGTCGTCAATTTATTGTATTCTAATTTTATTAATGTAGTCAAAATCGTTCGCCCGGAGTAATATAATAGCGCTTAGAAATTCAATAAAAAAATAGCTACTTGTTGGAAGGTATCGATCAACGAATGAATATGGTACGAAGGTACGGTCGATACGGCTGTATGGAGCGTTCAAAGTGGAGCAGAATAGTATGTAGAATGTGGGGAATGGGGGTAGATTGGTCGAGATATCGATGAGTGAAAAAATCTACATTGGTTTTCCTTTTCCTCAAGGGAGGCCCTCTTCAAATAGACTTTTTGGATCAATGAGTTATCGAGTGACAAAACCGTTTGTACCTTTGGAATCATCATTTTCTGATCATTCCAATGGTGTTACGTATGTCTTCGTACGACTGACGTCGAGGCCGGAATTCAGCTTCGAAGTTCAGACTCTGGAATTTTCTTCCGGATTTTATCCAGGGTTGATCCCTGTTGTTGGCCGGAGGTTTTCTCCGGACCGGAATTTTACTCCGGTTATATATTTTATATTTATATATAAAAATATAAAATATATTATGTTATACTATATTGTATAAAAGACCCGTAAATCCGTTATAAGTCTATTAATATATATATATATATATATATTAAGTCTAACACTACTAATACCTTCAAATATATAGAAGTCTATAAGGATTTTTAAATAATACATTATTAATAACGCCTGTCGTAGGGTCGCTGCTAGAAGAAGAAGAATTTATCGCAGTGCTTTTAGCGCTAGCGAATTATTTAGTATTAAATATAATAATTAGAAATATAATAGTAAAAATTATAACTATATTAGAAATAAGGACGTTCGTTACGAAGGTAAAAATAAGAAGCCTAAGGGTTTTAATACTAGGAAAAGAAAATTCCCATCGGATAAATCTAAAATTTAACTGCGTAAAAGGGGTAATAGTATAGTATATAAAGTATACGAAAGAAGCTATTATTCTCTTAAAAATTATTAGTATATTAATCTAAATACGAAGTCTTTATATATTAAATTATACCCCTCTATTACACGCGTCGTTAAAGCTAACCTCGCGAAAAATCTAAAGTTTACTAAGGAAGTAATTAAATTCTTTAAGAAGGAAAAGAAAATTAAGAAGGAAGAATTAGCGTTAACGTAACTATCGAATCGGACCTACAAAGTAACTTTCCAAATCAGCGGGGTATTTAAAATTGGAAATAAGATTTACCCTCTTAAAAATTTAATAATATTCAATTTAAATAATTCACTTTATATATTTAATAGAATTATTTATTTCCTTTATTTTTGTTATATTAATCTGGATAATCCTTTATAGGTTAATAATATTTAAATAGAAATTAAAGGGTTTAGGGAGGTTGATATCGTTATTAAGAGTAAGAACGATCCCTTAAAATTATAGTTAAAGAAGGCCGTCTTTTGCCATAACTTTACTACTAACTTCGTCTCCTATTTCTAATTACGAAGGCAAAGTTTCTATTAAGACTATCGACTACTAAATAATTATTTAAAGAAAATTAACAGTTTATTCTTTGATTATTTAAATACTATTTATAATTAAACGGTTTTTGAAATTATCC